GAGATTGAAGAACAGTGGCGTGAGCACGAATTATTTACTAATGCTGCGTCGTTCATGCACCGCCAACCTTTGTAGGTATTCCGCATTTACCAAATAGGACCGACCTCATAAATGCCGAGTACAGTATAGCATTGTCGTTAACAAGAAAAATGCTATCGAAGGTCCCAGTGGTGATTTGAACTGGCTTCGTAAAGAAAGGCAGTCGCAGAAGACCAATAGCGATGTGGTAAAAAGGTTGGACATATTCTTTTTTTCGTTTCCAAAGGACGGGAGTCAAAAGATACAGATAAAGTATATGGCGCATGAGATATAGGGTAGCAGAGAAGATGCATCTAGTGCTCTAGGGTTGTTGAAACCGAGGCAGACCTTGTGCCTCCATCCGTTCTTACTCGGAAATTTCGCCAACAACGTCCGCCCGAGAATGTCGATGGTCGGGATTTCCCGAGAAGTTTGAGCAAACCTCTGGCGAATTGTCGCCATTAGGGCCCGTTCTAAACTTTAGTAAAACCCTCCTGAAGGAAATGTCGCACAAAAAGCTTGTACGAGAATATCGATGAAACTCCGCGGAAGAAATTTCGCTGCCAGAGGCACCGTGTTATGTGAACAAGCAGGGTTCAACCAGATTGAATTGAGCTACCCTAACTTTCTATCTTTCACTGTGATTGACTGTATCTATTGCTCCCAACTTGTCATGCTGGTTATTCTTTAACCATCTTCCGACGCCTGAGCTTGCGCAACCGCCTTTGCTCCACTTGGCACGATGATCGTAGCGTCACACGATGAATCGTCTGCACATGGGCCCGAAAATGGTCCATGGTATGAAATTCGAGATTTTGACCTTGGTTTTGGGTGCGACAAGTAGGGTGTGTACACACCATCTTCTCGCCACGTTGCAGTGCCCTCTCGCGCTCGATCAAGTGCTGGTCATCGAAGTGGTCGTTCCTGACGGTCGGACGGCAGTACGCAAAGGTACGTTCTCCGAGAGAGAGCCGCTCGTCACCGATGCAGTCCGGGCATTGTCCGGGTTGCATGAGGAGAGGAAACTGGTTGACACTAGGTGAAGGCTCACTGCTCGCTTCGGTAGGTTCGATTTTGATGTGCGGTTGAGCCCTGACATTTTGCTGGACGCGATGACGCTTGGCCGTCTCGCGTTTGTCGCACAGAGCCACCATGAGTTGGATTGCTTCGATCCTTCGCTCGAGAACCTGATCCTCTGTCAGGCCATCCGGCTGATGACAAAGAATATTTGCTAGCCGGTCGCGTTCTGGTATATGCACATCGATGACAGGTTCTGTGTACTCCTCCTCTTCCTCGCCCCGTGCCTGCTGCTCAATGTCCCAAGTGGGACGGTGGTAGAAATAATCCTCGCGGTATTCTTTAACGACCTGCCTTTCGCGGTACGCTCTCTTCGTGCGGATTTTGTTGGTGAGCCGTCGGATTTCTTCCTCATTCCCATGACCTTCGATGCGATAATTGCCCTGCTTCAATCGTGCACGCTGTTCCTCGAGCTCGACAATTTCCGGGTCTGGTGCCAGGTTAGCCCAGACCTCGTCGGGCACCATGTCTGCCGTAGCTCGAGGATCGCGCATAAGGCTGACGTGTGCGAACAGCCGGAACAGCTGGCTCTCCTTCTCTTCTTCTAGGAACGCGTTTTGGAGGTCGAAATTCGCAATCTCGTTGAGGTACGCACTTTGAAAAGTCATAAATCGGGGATCTTGGCGCATCATCTGGTCGCGGACGGAGTCGGGTGCGTCTCCTGTGAAGAATACAGTCAATAAAGGGAACAGTGATGGCATGGCGACAAAGTCGGCATTTAGGGGACGTGTGCTGTACAAATACGCACCATTAGCTGCGTTTCCAGCGCCTCTCCTAGCGAAGCGAGGTGTCCATTTCCTTTCATGTCCCGAGTCGAGGCTCTGCTGACCTATGTCATCTCTGAGCTTGGAGTACAGCATCGCCTCATCAGCTGAGAGTTCCGTGCCACGATATCGGCGAAAGACTGGGGTCTTTAACATAGACTTCTTCCATCGGAGCGGGATGCAGTGCTTGAAGCGCGGTGGCCGTGATCTGAATATAACGGCTGCATCTGTCAAGCTCGGAGCATCGAATGCATTGTCGTGGAGAGCGAGAGAAAGAATCGTGGAAACAGCGCAGAAGAGCAGCTTTCTTGTGGGTGTGAAGTAGAAGATGGTACTGCAGCGATTGTTAATATACAGAACGCCCGAATGCTCGCTGTTTGGGACAACAAGCACGAGAAACTTACGGCTTGGGCTTGTTGTCAGCGCCTTTATGATGAACGAACTTGATGGCCATGGCTGGCATGCATCGTCCAGTGGCCGGGTGTCGAACGATCATCATCTGGATATCCTCGTAGCACAGGGCCTTGGGACGCCCACGTCCCACGGTTTCTTGGCAGAGAAGACTGTGGAGCACTTTGGATTGTTCATCCGTAGGGCCATCCTGATCTTCACTGCTCTCCGAAGAGGACGACTGAACTGCACTCTGGCCAAAGAGTTCTTGGATGGAGCCGTCCTTTGGCTTCTGTCGCTCACCATCTACCAGCTCGGCCGGCCGCGCACCCGTATAGCACAGGAGCTGATAGCAGCCAGCGAGGTTGATGCGGTGACGTTCGCCAGGGAAGACAGATGTATCGTATCCGATATTGAACGTCAGGATGACTCGTAGGTTGTCGACATTGAGTACCGGCTTACCATCGATGTTCGGCGCTCGGTGTCCGAAGCGGGGCACGAGTACACTGCGATAATACTGGCTGCGTGTTACTAGAGCTCGAGAATATGCCTAAGCAATGCTCTGGTGCACTGTTACGGCTCCAACCCGGTTCCTCACATACCTTGTACACTTCCTTGGTGTCGTTCCGATCCATATACTGGCCATTTATCGTCGTATAAAGCTGTTGGAACTGGCGAATGTACTCGTGTCCGCTGCCCCATGATGTGATTTTGCAGCGCTCGCAGATGTAGAGGAGGAAGTCCTGCGTCGTTCCGCGGTCAAGGTTCTCGAGCGTCGCCTTCCACTCGCCAACTTTCATGTCAGCGCAGTACCTGTACGGGATGAGGTCAGTACACGGCGAAGGTTGCAAGCGGCAGGTGCTTTCTCACGTACCGTCTCCATTTATTGAAGATGCCGCTAACGTTGATCTCGGTTTGCTCAGAGTATCTGGGCTTGATGAATCGGACTTTGCCTAGCTGTGCCCTGTGCGCAGCGTGCTCTTCCACCGAGAGCGTGGGTTTCTGCTTTGCGGCTCGATTTTGTGCTTGTCGGGCATTGAAGCGTTCGAGAAAAGATGCATGGTTTTGGTGCAGACCATTTCCGGCTGTAGTCGCGCTGGTAGTCATCGGGTTGTTTGGCAGTCAACGAACGTGAGCAACTGGTGATCAAGAACAGCGCGAGAAAGGGAATGAGCGTGAGGAGAGGAAGGAGAGGGAGACAAAGGTGGTCGCTACCGCCATTTATGCCCACCAGGGTCGACACCCCAGCGGCAAGTAATGGCCTCGACGTGGTCAGCATGTGGGCAGCAGGAGACATAGAGAACACAAAGGGATGTTGAAAATAGACACCGCTGGGTCGCTGATGGAGGGTGACCGAAAGGGGGACGTATGTCTTTCTCTGTAGTGCCCCGGCACGTGCTGAGGATCTGCGCGCCAGGGGTCACGCAGGTATATAGTACATGCCCTCCCCCTCTTATCGTTCCCTGCCCCCGCACTGCTGAAGCCTCCAAAAACAGCGACACTTTCCGCCCAAAATGGAGGCACCAACAGCGCTTTCTCTGTTTAAGGAGTAAATATATTAATAATAATATAATTAATAGTTACTTAAGGTTAAGTTATAACTTTTTAATATTAAGGTTTCGAACTTATATCTTATTATAAATAAGTAAATACCTTAAATATAAAATCTTAAAGTAATTTTATAACTTTTTAATAATAGGTTTTATTTTTAATTTATTTACTTATTATTTTATTTATATATTAATTTATAACTATTTACTACCTTTATAAGTAAGAAAGAATTACTAATATATAATACCATTTATCTGTAGCAGAGGATTAGCTATTAAATATGTTATTAACAGGCTTCCTTTACCTCTACAATTAACTAAGCTACAAGACTTAATATAGTGTTTCTGCATTGCCTAAATCTGGCAAATACTAAAGCTATAATACCAGCATTTAAGTATATTAGGTATTACTTTAATTTCTTTTATTAATTAATATTAAGTCTTTAGGCTTATTTTAATATACTTAGTAATAAGATAAGTAATAACTTTATTAATTAGGTATATATATTAGTATTTCTATTAAATAAGAATTTAATATTTAAAAAAGATATATAAATAGGTATATAAGATTAGAAAAACTAAGCTCTGTTATAGGCTTAAGCGCCATAGCCTAATAAATTAGTTTTAAATAATATTAATAATAATAATTATTAGCTTAATCTTAAGTTTATTATACCAGATACTAATAAACTAGAGCCAGAACTTGATATACTGCCATAAAAGTGTTATTTTGCCTAAATATATAACTAGCCACTAATTAGAAATCTAAGTTAACCCCTTATTAAAGTTAAATCTACCCCACGCTAGTTGATTTTTCGAGATTCAAGTCTACCCCCCTGTAAAGCAGGGCAAATTAAATTAATTACACAACAATTAATTTTGGTCTGTAGGACTAGGCCGGCGACGTTGGGACCGGCTCGTTACTTGTCGGCTCGATTCAAGTTGGCAGTCATTCGGTTTGGGAGAGAGAGCTAGAGAAGACAGGGGGGCTGCGAAGGATGATGGGAAGAGCGGTGGTGTCGAATGAGTTGAACGGGAACGGGAGGAGGGAGATAGAAACTAGGACACCAGGTAGGTACGCCCCGGTAGCCCCGCCATATCAGCCCTAGATGCATGCAAGTGGTCTGTGCGTGGGCGAACCGATTAAGTAAGTACCTCAGACCCTGCAACCTCTTATTGCTAGACTCCCCACACTGCTTATGCCTGCAAAAACGGCAACAGTTTGCGCCATATTTAGTAGCTCCAGCAGCGCTCTCTCAGTTTACTTCCAGGGCTCGGTGTTCTATTGTGCCGATTCCAGCGGGGGCTTACCGCCAATGTCGAACCAATGGTGATCTGAAAGCTCATAACCTCCTCTTTTCTCCCCTTAACATCGTCCCCAGACGCTCAAGTTTGACTGCAAGCCTGGGATGAGCTACAATCCCCTTCCGATATGACAATGCCCAACATGGATCCAGCCCAGCGCCAAGGCGAAATTGGGGCACAGTACCAGGTATATCAACCACTGAGCCCTCGGCAGACAAGAGCGCTTCGAATTCATTCTGCGACCGACTCCGATGTCGAGGTTGAATGCGACCTGTTCGCGGTAGACCTCAAGAAGAAATCAGGCGCAACAGTTGCAGGAAGCTCCAAGAAGGTTGGGTACGAGGCATTGTCGTACACTTGGGGGGATCCCGCGCCAACCAAGAGAATCTTGGTAAATGGGCTACCGTTCTGGATCTCTGCAAATCTCTTCGCGGCGTTGAGACAGTTTCGACTCCCGGAACGACCTCGAGTGTTGTGGACAGATGCTATCTGCATCAATCAAAACGACCTAATTGAGAAAGCAGGTCAGGTGGGGATGATGTTCAGCATCTATCTCAAGGCGTACAGGGTCGTTGTCTGGCTGGGTCAGGCGACTAATGATGACGAATATCTCTTCAGCCTATTCAAGACCTACGGCAGGGATGGTATGGGTGGCATTCGTGGAGAGCTCGAGGACCCAAGAGCACGCAGAGCAGCGACCGAGCTCATCGAGACCAAGCCGTGGTTCCAGCGGACTTGGACCCGACAAGAGGTACATGCAGCTCACGAAGTCCACGTGGCCTGTGGAAGCCAGGAATGTTCTTTCGAATACTTTCAGCTTGTCATGGATTGCCTGCTTCCAGACATGGATGAGATACGGGATACGTTCAGGCCCCATCGCGACCCTCGGGAACGAGCCTTGAGCGCGAGGAGAGCATACGTCTTCTTCAAACAGCATTGCGAGAGTGACATGTATACCGAGGACGGCGGATATCATCAAGCCTGGTTCAGGATGATTATGCGAAGCAGTCTATATGAAGCGACTTTGCCACAAGACAAGGTCTTTGCTGTCCTCGGAATCATTGCAGAGATGACCAAAGATGCCTGCGACGTTACAGAGGGGTTTCCGGAGATTGATTACTCAAAATCGGTTTCGGCAGTATTCGAAAGCTTCCAGAAGCACACAATCAACATCAGCCAGAGTCTTGCCAGCCTCCAAATCTTCTACAATAGAGACGCCATCGGACATGACTTGCCATCCTGGGCTATCGATCTGCGCCAAAACGTTAGTCGCTTGATGCTTCGATTCGGCGTTTTCCACTTTTACATGCCCTATACGGGGCCTCCAGTGCAAGCATACGATGAAGAGGGGCTTTTGCGTCTCGAGGGAGCACGGATTGGAGTTATCACCTCGATAGAGAGTCCGTGGAAAAACGGAATGCACCGGGAGTTCAACTCCGAGATTTTGGGATCTTACTCTTCAGGGGTAGGACTGGAGAGCTGCTATTCGAGCCATGACTGGTGGATGCCCGATAACCAAGGCAACAAAGGCATAGAAGAGGTATACAAGATTCTTGAGAAGCGCTGCTCTTACAATTGGGCAACCTTGGGACCCAGGAACAACAATGTCATCGAAGAGTACAATCCATTTCGACATCGCTGCCTAGTATTTCTGTCGCATCTGGCGCGAGAGGGAGATATCATGATTCATCCATCTGGTGCCGAGATGCCTTTCATCTTGCGGCCGGATACAGAAGCAGGACGCTTCAGCTTTCTAGGTCCAGCTATCATCGCGATGGGAGTGGTAAGGAAACTAAAGGACAGGGATATGTTCACATATGCTTTTCCTCGCCGTGGAAGTGGCTGCAATGTCGGCTCGCCCGAGATCTTTGTGCTCATCTAAGGCGAACTTTGGTCTACGTTAACAAGTAGCGATAGAGCATTGCTTGATAGTTATAAGCAGGAAGGTCTAACCTTGGTCTCATATTTATGTAACAGTCAATTGAAGATGTTTCGATACATGTGGCTAGTTTAAGGAGCGAGAAATTATACTGATTCTCGCAAATTTTCTCGACGGACATATTGAGATCCGGCTTATGGTTCTCGTTCCCCCGCACCATGAGCTAATCTCTTTACTACTTTCAATCGCTGCCTAGGCCTCTTTTCATTATTTAAGCCCAATCCTGGACGGCGAAATATGCATCGTTCAGTGAATTATGCCTACCGAGAATGATACCGTGAGAAACTATGTCCAATATCTCGGCCTTTTTAACGCCATTACTAGCGTCAAAGAGGGGCGGTGAACGTAACATCTATCAGTGGTCTGACGAGGAAATACAGAATTGCTGCAGAAAGACTTCACTCATCCGCGCGGCTTTATCTAGCTCCTCAGGTGACATGGGCTATCCCTCTTGAGGTGACTGTATTTCGTAAACCTGGCCCTTACGACGGAGAACTAGGTAGACATCTACATCATACGTGGCATGCATTTGACATAGAGTCCTCTGCAAGGTACGCCATCTCTTATTAAAATTCTCTCCACTCCGGTCCCTCTTTCTAGATCGACTGCTGTCTTCTGTTGGCATAGTTCCAGGTTCAGCAGGTTATTCGAATCCGAACCAAAGGAGCAGCAAGCAGCTGTTGCTTGAAGTGGTAAGTGGAAGAGGCAAAGCTTCCTTTTTATGGTGATATTGTATACACAGGTTACCCCAGTCACACGGCTTGTTTGCCTCTCCTCTAGCATTTACTTCTGTGATTATCTATATGGAAGTCGCAGAAGCAAGGGTAAACACATCAGTATCTTATTATACGTTCTATATGAAAACTAAACCTAGTTCCTGACCATCTGACGACGCCATAGCGGTTATAGTACCTTGGTCTCGACTACAGAAGACCTCTTTATCATGAGACGAATTTGGTAATCAAGATTATTAACGCCGTACGTCGCTTATGTAACATAGTACTAGTCACGAACTCGGAGACACAAATAGCAGCATGGAGATGCCACTAACCGCTCTTTATAATTTAAAGCATAAAGCATTTGCGAGCATACTAATAAGCTAGATTAGGGAAGCAGGGGGCATCAGTGGCTTTATAATACTAGTAACTATAGAGGTATATTTATAATACTTACTGGTAAGTATAATCCTATTATATATTAAAATACTAGTAGCTATATATCTAATAATAAGGCGCTTACTAATATAAGTAATATAAATATAAAAAAGCTATTAGTAATTAAGTATTATATTATTATTAATAAGATTAAGTTATTAATTATTATAACTTAAGAAGTAAAAGCAGTTATATTATATATATATTTTATAATTTCTTTTTTAATTATATAATAACTTATATTATCTTTAATTTTCTTAATTATTACTAATACCTATATAGGCAATTATAAGGCAAGGGTTAAATAAATATTAATTTAAAGCTCTTTATAAGCTTTAAGTAAATAGTATCTGGCAGTCTAAGGGGCCTGTTAATATAGACTATACTAATAACCAGGATAAAGGGCAGAGTATAAATAGTAATATGGGTGGCGATAATAAGGGTAAAGAAGAGGAAAATAATAATATTAATTATAAGAATAAAGAGGATAAAGGCAAGGCTAAAATTAAATATAAGGAAAGTAATAAATAGGATAAATTAGAATATAATAGTTAAAGTAATATAGATATAGAAGTAGGTAGCCTTTTTAATACTATATTAACTCCTGCTTAGTCTTTAAATAAGTAGGAGTATCTCTCCTAAGACCTTATAGTTAATATCTTATTATACTTTTATTACTTTATTATTATTAAGGACTTTAAAGGTAGGCTTATAAGCTTAATAATATTAATATATTTTAGTATTATATATAGGCTATTAACCCCTAATAGTAGTAAATACCTCTAGCTTTATTAATTTACCCTTATCTTAATAAGACTTATATATTATTTTTAATTAATCTTTCTTAATATAGTATTACCTTAGTTCTTATATAATTATAATAGTATTATATACCCTTTATATTATAGGCTACTATAAAGGCATAACGTACACAATAAGCAAGTAAATCAGATAAGCAAGTAGATTAAAAATCCCTTAACCTTACATCTAACTATCTAATTAATTAATTCTTAATAAGATAATATATCTTAATCTAATAAAGAGGCTTAAATCCTTCTTATACTTTATGCCTATTAAGCTAACCTTAAATTAAGTCTGTAATAAGCTATAAAGATCTATTAGGTTAACTTCTTAACCCTCTATTACTATAATAGTAGTATATAAGCCTGTTCTAATTATGTCCTAAATAATTAGAAACTAAGTAATTTAGAGGAATAGATTATAGTTTAGTATATCCTTAACTTAAATTTATAAGGATTTCCTTCTTAATATTATAATATTAAAGAAATAGTAAATTAACTACTTACTAATTATAATATATTATTAATTAATAAGTATTAGGCTATTAATTTTATTAAGTAATAATTATAGCTTAAGATATGTTTTTAAAGAAGATATAACTATTAAAGGGCTAAATATAAAGATTTAATTACTATTTATAATTAGTTTAGGCTTATATAAAATATAATTATAAAGTATAATATCTAATTAGATAATATCTAGAACTTTAATAAGACTAGCTTTATAATAGGTATAATCTTAAGTAGTATAGTTAATACTAGCTTAGAAAGGCATAAAAGACTAAAATTAATATAGCTTAGAAATCGGAAATAGGTTATAGTAATTTAAGTAATTAATATAAAAGGCTAGGTAATTAATTTATTTATTATAATTACAGGCTAATATTACCTTACTAATTAGTATTAAGAAAGTAACCTCCTGGCTACTTAGGCTATTACTATAACCTAAAATAACTAGATAAATAATAAAATAGGCCTTAAGTAGCTAAAGTATTTTAATTAATATATAACTAACTAATTAATTAATGCTTATTATTTTCTAATCCTTAATAGCTATAAAAGTTACTATTTAACTAACTTCTAGATATACTATAAGGAAAATAATATTATTATACTCTATATACTACCTTATTCTTTCTACCTACTTTAGCCCCTTAATATTAAGTACTTTAGGCTATTAAAAAAGGCATATAGTTAAGAAATAAAGTAACTAATTAGAAGGTCTATAACTTATATTTTTAAGACTAAGTTCTTTCTAGCCTTTTATACTGCCTTTTAATTAATTATAACTAAGTTAAATATTAAGGGAGGTTTTAAAGGAGCTAGTCTTGCTCCTTTTAACCTAGAAGTTATAATATTAAAGCTTAATATATAGCTATAGACTTTAATGCCTATTAAGGAGGTAGTTTAATAAGCTTAATCTTAAACTTTAAGGACCTTAATAATAGTCCTTAAAGCTAGATTATAGTTTAAATACCTTTAAAGATAAATTAGAAGATATTAAAGTAGCTCTCTAAAGTTAATCCTTAAAGCTCTTTAATCTCTTACTAAAGTAATAAAGAGAAATATATATAAGACTGCTTTATTAAAGGCTAAGAACTAAGAGCTTTAATAGGTAAATAATATACTTAACTAATAGCACTAGGCAAAAAGGACCTGCCTATAAAATAAAAGGAGTATAACTATATAAGAAGGTTAGGATTTAATTAATTAGATAGATATAGATATATAGGTAATAGCTAAATTATTAAGAAGTAGTAGTTAAGGAAGCTTGGCATAACTAAGGGTTTAGTAATATAGGACTTGCAGTAAGACTAGATATAATATAAGAACCTATTAGGAAGGTATTAAGGCCTCTAGAGATAAGTATAGTAGTTAATTTTAATTAATTAGATAGTCTGTTATATTTTTATTATAATTTATCTTTAAAAGGTTAAGGTTTTTAATCTACTTACTTATCTGATTTACTTGCTTATTGTGTATGTTAATGCAGCTTGCTATAAATATATATATAATAATATGCTATTACTTATAGGCTAGTTCTTAAGTCTCCTATATTATATTAATGCCCTTTAGCAATCTTAAGGGTTAATTTTCTAATTTTATTAAAGTAATACTGGCAAGGTCTTATCCTAGAATGGTAACTAATGACTTTTAATAGTAGACTTCTGTGGCCTGGCTTATAAAGTGCTGCACTTAGTTATAGTATCCTGTTCTAGTTTAATATATAATTGGGAGCCTATCCAAGCTATGTAGCAGATACAGGTCTAAATCCGATGGAAAATATATATAAATTAAAGAAGCGCTAATATAATAAGGGCAGCCAAGTTATAACAGTTAATAAGGGCAGATTACCTGTAGGTCATATTAATTAACATAGCCCATTAATCCATAGTTATCAATCCACAGTTATCATTAACCCGTAGCAATACAGGACACTAAGCTAAGGTTTAAGCCATAGTAACCACAAAAGCAAGTATATTAGAAAGAATCAATAGGTCAACAGCCATCAAAACAAAGCACCCGATAATTTATCAATTAATATTTAACTATTGCAAACCAATAATACGGAGTTACCATTTGTTATTTGCAAAGTATGCCGTTATATGCATAACGGCAAGGAAGTGCAGCAGCATATGAGGAGACATTACAGGTCGATCCAGGTAGCAGAAAGAAGAAAGATCGCAGCGGCGATCCAACCCGATTCCGATATGATCCAGGAACAGAGAAAGAGCAATACAAACTACCGCACCTTGGGCCTCGAGCTCCCCCTTAGTCAGAGATGAACAACCATTGCACTCTTCTGTTGGGGTCTACATCCCTGTTGTCCGTCCCATTTTCAGTAAAAGAGGAAATCTACTATCTCTCGTTGGCTTACACCCCTGCTAGTTCCTCTTTCACTGAAAAAGGGACAGGGTTTTCAATCCCCTGCTGGTTATTTTTTAATAAAAGTACGTGATAAACCTTCTTATTGGCTGGTTTATTCCTTCGATGCAACCTGCGCAGCTAGCTTTGCTTTTATGGCGCAGTGAAGCCCAGTCTGCCCAACTGCAAGTGTACTAATCACCACCGCAGCGTGCATGCAGTCGCCCGACTAGAGAGACAATGCATGTGCAACCAATAATTTTTCTTTCTCCTCGCCAGCACTAATGCTAGCTTCCCAATTGGAGTGCGGCTTTTCTTTGTTAACTGAGGCAGCTATCAAGAGATGCATATGTTGACGTGGTTTCGTCCAAGGCGCACAAAGTAAGACAAATTCAGTTAACCGCCACTAGAAACCTCCCATCGAACATCTTCTCCTTCTATCGCCAAGTTACTCCTGATGCACTTTTTTTATTACGCCAGTATTATTATAGAAGTTATAGACTGTGCGGTTGCTGTATTGTAACTAATTGCATTACTTAAAAAAATCTACTAATACTAAGGATATAAGTATTAAGATTAGATTTTAAAAGATTTTGAAAAAGATTTTACGCTTTTATAAACTAAATAATACCAGAAGGTATTTTTAGACTTATAGTTACAATTTAATATATACTAACTCTAGGTTTCTGCATTCTAGTGCAATCAATAGAGTGCAGTGTCTTTAATAGCTTTCTTCCTTTAATTGACACAGACTTCTACTCAAGCAAAACAAAGCTCCAGTCTTGTTACTACCTCTGCATCAAGGCTTTTCAAGTATTCCTTATATCCCTCCTGGGTAATAGGGCCATTGCCACCAACAGTGCCTTTGATGCAGCGCCGCACAACGTCTCCGTACACCTGACCCATCTTCTCCTCGACCACCGGTAACAGATAGTTGGCTACATAAGCAGCCCACTCTCGTGGGTTCGAGGCATTGACGTTGCCATGCGCCGCCATTTCCTCCGCCGTTTGCCACCGTGCTATCTCAATTAAGACGATTCCGAAACTGTACAGGTCAAATCTAGGCTCGTAGCCAGCTGCCATGCTGTCAACGTAGGTAGCGTGATGGTAAATCGCTACCCCAGCCGTGTTCTCTATCGGAATTGACAGGCCAGATTGCGAGGCCGGGCGGGCAAACTCGTAGCCTACTAAGAATACTTGATTTGGGTCAGGCCTCCAGCTGTGTCGAGCGTTGCTGGGTCGGTAGAAGAGGATGTTGTGGCTTCGGATACCCTTATGTAGCCAGCCTAAGTAGTGAAGCTGATAGATGGCCTTGGAGAGTGTGAGGGCCAGGGCGAAGCGGTCGCCTAGGAAGAGGCGAGTATCTACCGAGACGCCGCCGTGATTGAAGGGTCTCTTGCTTTTACTGATAAGTGTCGCCAGCGAGATTGGTTCAGTGGCCATGTTGGGCGGAGGACGGAAGGCAAAGCACACAGAAGAAGCGAGGCCCTCTGTTGACGGCTCGTAGAAGCCGACGCAGTGGAGGGCTCTGAGCTTGGTAGGCTTCGTTTCCTGTGATAGCAATTTCGCAAGGGACCGCATGCTGCTACCAACTAGTCTTTCGTATTGCCGCTGGGTAAGACCTGGTGGATGATTTGTCTCGTATTCCTTCCACTCCAAAAGCGCAGCTTGCCCGTTGACGGTGGCAGTACGGGGCAGCTGAGGAGATCGAAACGAGATCGGCGGCTCAAAGGCCCCCACATCGAGCTCCATGTTGTCGTCGAACTGCATCAATGAAAATTCGGTATCAAGGTCTTGAAAAGACTTGTTTTCTGCCTCTCTGGCTTCGAGAGCGACTCGACGAAGCCGAACAGCGGCAGCCAACTCCCGATACTCGGCCAAGTCTGCCCTCCTGAGCGCCACCTCCATCAACCGCAGACCCTCAGTGTTATTGAAGTTGTCAAGCTCGGGGAGCAGCTGACGCTGTACGGACCCATCGCTCAGGTTCCAGAGTCTATTCAAGGCATCGTTGTATATATTCAGCTTCTTCCAAAGGTCGTTTGCCGCCTTGGCCCCGTTAAGTGCCCAACCGATCCTCTTCAGGCGCGAAACGAGCGGCTCCAAAGTGGTGAGTCGGCCTGAATTGGTGCCTTCACGGCTACCCGAGATAGCTGCGGACTCTTCAAAAGCAGCTTTGATCTGACTCAAGCAGGATGCGGTCAGTCTTTCGACGGCAGGGTCGCTTGTAAAGACGACCCTGCCCTGTGGCATGGCTTTGGCCTTCCAATTGGAGAAAACCTTTTCTTCAATCTCGAATCTTATGCAGAAGTCCTCCTTCTCATTTTGTTCATTGGCGTAGGTAAGGAAAGCCTGGTAATACTGTACGCAGGTGAAGAGCAAGGCAGGCACGCCAAGCACTAGACCTGCTGCGTCTGACATGGTCGTGGATAGATAACTTGGTCACGCCCGCTGTAAAGGAATTGGGGAATGGGATCAGATAAGGTGCCAATTGCAGCCCAATGGAAGCCTCTTAAATCCTTTTTCAGGGAGCCTAACACAGTTATGCAGCCACATTAAGCGCTACCTGGGTCCAGACCAGCCATGTAATAAACTGCGAACCTTGTGTACCCCCTCGGAACTTGATTTGGTCGGTTTTGGTGCCGTGGCTTCTCAGTATGGTGTAGCTGAACCACCAGTCAGGCGCCAAACTTTCAGCTCAACATGACAGGTCACAGATGTCAGCCCATGAAGCATGTTAATGGCGACACTAGCAAGAACTCGGAGTTGGTTACCTGGAGTTCACCATGGACACAAATATCCACCCGCCCTCTGTGGTCTGTTATTCCTTTCGAACCCGTGTTTGGTACACCTCGATTTTGGCCTATTTAGTTTCCAACATGAGCATTTCATCCTCAGTCGTTCTTGGACATCGCCCTCCTCGCTCCAGCTCAACCATATACATTGGGCCGCCACGAGGTGATTCCGAGCGTTCCGCTCCTCTAGTATCACCGAGGACGCCAGGCGACAAGAAAAGACCTCGTTACGTTTCTAGAAGCACTGAGCACCGTTCTTGAGCAGAATCCATGGCTCCGCTTGGAGGTTATCAACGCTCTGGACGGTACAAACCTGTCCGCTGGACAGACCTTCTCCGTACGGCGCCACACCGTCGGACGGCGCCTTCACGCTTACAAGAAGAGGCTGGTGCCAGGTGACACGGTGATCCTCAAGGTAGCACGTGGCTACAAGGCAGGTCGGGCCACGATTCCAGATGGTAGTGCCGACCACGAGGTTTCTGAACAGATGGATGCTCTTATCCGAGAGGTTCAAGTGCTCACGCATAGACGTGTTCGTGACGCCCCGGAAATTATTGACCTCCTGCATCTGTTGTGGGAGCACGACCAAGGCATTCTACGGCCAGTACTGGTGTTCGAGTATGCCAACGGCGGAACGCTCGCTGCCTTTGCCCGATCCAGCCGCGCTGAGAATCTCGAAACCAAGGAATCACTGTGTCGTGACGTCGTTAAAGGGCTTGCAGTCCTGCATGAAGTTGGTGTCATCCATGGGGATGTGAAATGTGAAAATGTGGTTGTTTTTCAGCAAGACGACGGCTCCTTCAGGGCAAAGCTAATTGACTTTGGGTTCTCAATATTCCTTGCTGAGCTAGAGTCAGGAGCGCATATAAAAATTGGTGGCACTGAACCGTTTACGCCTCCGGAGGCTACATCCCTGCTTGAGAGAGAGGCCTTAATTTATACTGACTACTTCTGCTTTGGGATACTTGTGTGGCAAGTCTTGCTTGATGGTCTACATGATGAAGACCTCTTTTATCAAGAACCTTTTCACTGTCCGCTGAGGGCCGCGTCAAAATCGAATTGGTCAACTTACATCCAAAATGCCAAGAAAGAGGTTACATTTATCAACAAGGTTAAAGCTTCGGTTCGGCCTACATTCAGTGAATCAGACGAAGCCTATTGGGCCTACTTTAGCTGCATCTTCGAAAATGCCCTTAGTTCCGTGCCTACGCAACGCAGGATTGACAGGATCTTGGCCTTTACCGGAGATCCTTAGTAAGTTTTGGTCGTGACTTAATTTTGACACATGCTGATTCGGTTATCGTATTTAGTTGCGAGTTTAACTGGAGCTCGTCGTTGAGTGCTGCTCTACAGCCGCATCCTGACCATGTAAGTCCCGGAACCCAAGTCCAATGACAAGGGACATTAGCTAGCCATACTAATCGGGTGTTTAAGGCGTTACTTAAGCTAGAGTACATATCGATATTCCCTGCGTCTCTGCTTTCCCAGATATTATCCAGTCTGGAAAGAATCTCCGAGATACCTGACGATAGGCGAGCAGCCGAGGCCTGTTTCCTCCTCTCACAGTGCCATATTAACGGGGTTGGAAATGAGCAATCAGACGAAAAGGGCCTTTATTGGCTAAAAAAGGCTACGTCTCTAGGACACCAAGTCGCACATCTCGTCCAGGCACAGATCACCGGTCAAGAAAACACTTTCTTTGATCCTTGGGACCTCATAACTCCGCTTGACCCAGACGCATATCCTGTCAATGTTTCAGACACACCTGAAAAAATACTGCAATTCTTGGCTGAGAATAGCAATCTGACATCTAACTTTAATGGGAGTCAAGACTCAATAGTGCACTGGGCTGCAACCTTTGGCCTGCCTCAGCATCTGTGTCTGTTTCTAGACGTATATCCTGAGCTAATTGAAGATAAGAATGTCGTCGGAGAAACCCCCCTAATCTGCGCTACCCGGCACGGAAATGCCAGCTGCATAATAGAGCTCTTTTTACGCGGTGCCAATGTGGATCATGCTAGCTTCGCTGGAGAGACAGCACTTCACTGGCTAGTGTCGTTTCCTGACGAGGCTGTTGAGACGATGGGGACTATCCTTTTTAGCCGCTTGTCTTTGTTCTCCTACGCCCTGGTCAGGAATCAGGCCCCGAACGTCGTTATTACAGGCCTAAAAATAGTGCCCGGCACTCCCCTTTCCCGGGCCGTGACTCTTGGACGACAGGCTGTCGTCACATTCCTTCTCCAACGCGGTGCTGATTGCTTTTTCTCGGGATTAAATCGCTTCAATGTGGATGCCCTCGAGAAAGCTGGAGCGGCTGGCAATTACGAGATGCCCGATATTCACGAGCGGGAATTGTTACCTATTCATAGAGCCTGCCAAAACCACGATGACCAGATGCTCAGTCTTATTCTAGGCCATCAATCGACCATGCTTCCGGGATGGGCTGGCAAGACCGCTCCGCCTCGAGGAATATTGGCCGCATTCAGGGCAGACCAAGATGACGGGTTAGGTTGCATCAACTATTGCTCCTATTCACTTCTTGGATACGCATGTGATCCCAACAGTCGATTCTCTCGAATGTGCATCCATGGCCCAAGGCAAAAGGAAGCTCTCCAACAAACATTCGAGCTTCTTCTATCCAACCCCGGACAAACTTTAAACCGGGTCACCTACACAGGGCAGAGTGCCATTCTCACAGCTTGCTTGACTGGGGATACGGAACTTGTGATACATGTACTGTCCCTCCTCGGTTGTCAACCTACCCTGGAGAAGTCGTATATTGGCGGATGGGGGAGGAAACCTCTACACATTGCGGCCATGCGGAACAACCTTATCATATGCAAAGCCCTGCTTGACGCTGGCGCCGATATCCTTTCAGAGACCAGTAGTGGTCAAACCGCTGTGCTATTCTGTGCCGCTGGTTACTTCCCTGACCAGGACGTACCCAGACTCCTTCTCTCAAGGGAACCCAAGCTCGCAACCATGGAGAGCTACTGTGACTCGCCTTTTTCGGCCGCTGTCCGTAACCACGATTTCAAATGTGCCAGATTGCTTCTAGAGTATGGTGCCGATCCAAATCAGGTCCTCGGTCCGCGTCCTACGAGTACAAACTTGTTCCAGATACTTGCTGCGGACAATGACGTTGACGCAGTTGAGTTCCTGCTCGGTATACCCGAAATCTCCTTCGAGGTATCGGCACGGAAGCGGTTTACAGCACTCCACGCATCAGCTGTTGGCAGGCTCCGGTATAACAAATACGGCGAGTTTAAGGTGGCGCCCGGTGAGATATTCGAGAAGCTGCTGGTCAAGTGGCATTCCAAGAAAGAGCTCGAAGCCCGTGAGATCCGGGGCTACACCGCGTTACATTTTGCCTGTGTCGCGCGTGATGTTGTAGTCACCAAGCTGCTTCTCTCGGCCATGCGGAGAGTTGGAGCGGAGGTGAACATCATGACTTACTTCTTCGGGAGTCCCGTCTGGAAGACACCCCTTGATTTGATCGACGATCAAAGCCAGGTGCCCAGCGCAGTTGTCAAGAGAGGAGCTCTAGCTATTGAGCAATACGACGCAAAGATGAATGAGCTACGCCGTATGCTGGTCGAGGCAGGTGGTAAGAACCGTGCTACAGCGTTGAGTGATAATTGGGGTAGTCTTTCGTTTGCGGAACGAACTAAGGCTATTTTATTAAGTAACAAATATACAAGGCCATTTGCGGTACTAGGCGGGCTTCTCTATACTGTCTGGATGTCCGGAACGGATGTTTTCACGAATTACTTGTGGTTCAGAACGCAGAGCAACCCCGACGAGGTTTATTATCGCCGTCATTGAGATATGAAATGGAGTATGTAAGGAGATGAAATTGTTACAGACGTCATATACTATGTCTTTAATTGAACTTACTTTATCGGGTGATTAATTAAGGTGTTATGTGAAAGCCAAAATTCTTTAACTGACATACCCTCGTCTTTATTTGAGACTGTATTATAGATAGTGCTGATCCATCCAGACGTACTGGACTTCGCATTGATACTGTGAGATATTATGAAGACATCAGCAAGAGACATTGTTTGTATGCCGGGTATAGTGTTTTTATTGCCACATTCAACGCATGATAAGTAACCATTCCGCGGCTCTTGGTTGGCTTTTGCTGGAATTTCCATCTCAACCGGTTCGGACATATTATCAACGGGCTTCAAGAAGCCTCTACACGTGATCACTCATTTACTCGGCGCTCTGGGATTAATGTGTGTGGGAGTCTGATGGACGAGGAACCGTGGAGCACAAACGCCGCCCAATGATATGGCTGTCGAGTTTTGCGCCTTGTTCTTAGAGCAAGCACAGCCCGCCGCAGAGCTTCAGCCAGATTGACGATGGTTGAGGATGATCCTCCTTGCTGTAATTGTCTGTACTGGTTCACTACGTCGGAGTAAAACTCGTCACTGAAATCCCGACCAGTGCTCGATAACGTGGGCCAAATAGTACCCAGCACTGAACTAGCTCCTGAACAGAGCAGAGCCGTGACCACGCCGAGAGGCTCGTCGCCAGCAGAAATTACCTGCAGTGCTGAGTCGCACGCGACAAGCGTTATGTGCGGATTTCGCAGCTTCATCTCAAACACTTTCCGAACTGGGAGGAGCTCGTTGGCTAATTCAAGACTCTGGTCTCCAAGTGTGGGTTGATCAAGACGACAATGGCCGTGGAAATGGAACATTATTGAGTTTTCCATCATGTGTTTGAAAGATTCTGTCGTCACAGCTTGGCCGGTAATGGATTTCCCCCCGTAACGCTCTGCAAGGTGGTCCAAAGTGGTGTAGACATTCAACTGCTCCGCGTCGTGCTCTGACGAGAATATGCGGTCGTTCTTAGATTCATAGACGCCTGCCATATTCCACCCAAGATCTGTGGAGATGGATCCAGTAAGCTCAGAGCGTCGAGAGCACTGCCAGAAGGTCGTCAAACTTGCACTGTAGATAATGGGATTGCGTTGGATTACCGGTGTGTCGTCTTCTACCCACAGCGCGTGGAGCGGGATCGAATGCAGAACATTCGTTGGGCAGAAGACGAGCAGATCTCCCTCTGGTGTCAAGTCGCGTAGTGAAGCAACGAGTTTATCGATACTTCGCAGACAGTATTCTGGCTCATCTTCGTCGTATTCATCGTCGACGAAGAAAGCAGCCGGGCGTCCACCGTCCTGAGCGTCGAGCCATCGCCGTTTCCAAGCCTTTACCTCATCGACAGTGATCCCACAGTGGACAGCCTGTGGTGGTAAATCTCCCTTGAGTGCAACGGTCCAGATGGTGCCACCGAGATTGATCCAGTCAACAAACACCACGTCCATCCCTCCAGCATTACACTTCATCTTTCTTCCCAGGTCACGCACCTGAGAGATAGAGACTGGGGTGCTCTTCCGTAGATCGAGGACCTGTTTGAGGATTGGATAGCCGGCCATCTTGACATGAATTATATGCAGATCGCTACGCAACTTGAGCCGCGCAACTGGGTCCGCGATGGCGACCTGCTGCGTTACAGACTCCTCTTCCTCACACAGCGCTTTCATCTCGGGATCCCGCATTATATCCTCGTGAAGTGTTGCTGGGATCGGAAATTGGTCTGTCAGCTGATCACCTACGCTCCTCGCCTTGGCGCGCTGGATCCAGTCCCACAACTCTGCCATTCTGCCCTCCAGCTGACAGATGACAAGTGCTCTGGCATATGTATCCTCTATTCCCGATACCATGACGAACTGCTGCTTGCGCGACACAGCCTCGAAACTCGCCAGGATGGATACTTCAGCTCTCCGATCTGCCGAGGCCTGTTCTGCTTTCCCCAAAGCAGCTAGGGCTGTGTCACCACTGACGAATCCGTGGGACCAGGACTTGAACTGAAAGAATGCACACAAGCGTGCCGATTCCGCGAGCATAAGTGTGTTGTCGAGTGCCTCGAAGACATCCTTCGCAATGTCGCTCAGTTCGATACAACGTCGAAGCATGCTCCAAGACGGTGGCTCACGAGCTTGGAAGGTTGTATAAAGCGCATTGGCTTGCATCTGTCGGGCACAAGCGGCATTTATAGGATTCCGGGTTTTCATGTAGAGTGCGACCGCCTGCTCGAAGTAGTCGTTGCGTCTATCACTCACATCATGGTCTGGCTCAGTTCCCATTAAAGCCTGACCGCGCAATTGGCATAGCTGAGCTCTGCAATGATCGACTTCGTCGGGAGTAGCTCTGCCTGGGAGATGTTGAAGACATTCCTCCATCTTATCCAGACATGTTCCCCCTCTTTCGTCACCCTTGGGTAGAAATATCGACCCAACAAGCACGGCCATTTTCTCGAAGGCGGCCAGAAACAAGCCCTCATCGAGATGGCGAGCGACTTCCTTTTCTGCAAAATCTATCACTTCTGTCACTCCAGGTGATCGGAAGCCATTGCATTTGTTCAACATGGCCATAAGAACCATCAGAGTTGCGCCGGCTCTCTCAATTCGGAATACCTCTCCCCACCTATCAACCGCAATTGTTGCCCACTTCAATGCATTGTCACCATCACCAAGTAGGTTGTATGCATTCGAGGTGATGTTCGCAATCATGCCTTTGACCCATCTACAGTCCTCCAGGCCGATGAGTTCATCGATACTGCGCGCGGACTCGATGACCTGGGACGACCTCGTAGAATGGCTTAGCCAGATGCTGATATGCCGGACTTGCAAGACGACATATTCCAACTTTGCACCAGTGATATTAGAGAGCTGAGAGTAGATGGCCAGTAGCGAAACTCTGAGGTCAAAGCCTTGTCCCGGGGGTATGCTGCTGAGCATGAGTAAGACGGCCCTGCTGTAATCGCTCAGCGCATTGGCTTCCTCGTAGGCGTGGAAATAGCCCTGTATTTCTTGCAACAATTCTGTTGTCAGGTTCAGAAAGCTTTGTGCGAGTCGGGTGCATGCTTGTCGAAGTTTTATGTCCACAACCGCATGATTATGCTCGACTGACTGGAACAACCTAATCGCATCCACTTCTAAACCTTTTAATCGCTCCCACTCAGGTTCATGAACCAGATTTCTGAGGTATAATAGCTCACCAACGACTGCAGCTTTCCAAACTAGCACCGTATTTGGTGATGCCATGATCGCTTCCACCATCTCAATCACAGATGAGAAACTCATATCCTCCAGCCCATCCTGCTGAGCGGTTGAAGTATTTAAAAGACGGATGTAGTGTTGAGCCACGGCAAAAGCTTCTCTGTCCCGTCCCTCTCGCATCAATCCCCGAAATGCAGGAAGTTGCCAGGCGATGGAAGCTTTCAGCTTGTGAATTGGAATTCGGTCGTGCAAGTCGTTTGTCATGAAGAGAAGCGCAGTATATGCCAGGTTGATGCTGATCTGTACGATCACGTGAGTCAGTGTCTACAGAGACATGGATTACGTCTTTTCTTCGGAAGAAGTTGAACATTCAACATGTTTGAAACCAACTGACTGTAAAATGATTCATTTCTCCGATGTCCTCCAAGGCATAAAATGTTTTGTGGATGTCAGATGCATCATGGAGAACTCCATTGAAAGAGGCTTTGACGATGGGACGCAGCCGACAAGCTTGCATTCTCAGCTGAAGGCACAGAGGATGGTCCGCGGGGTACAGGGCCGCATCGGTCTCTAGTATATTCTCGAGAATGTCGAGCGCAGCTTTTAGGCATCCCTGGTTGGTGAGTACCGTTCCCAGTTCAGCCGTGGCATAGAGTCGCTCGTCGCCCTGCGCAGCTTCGAGAAACTCCTCGAGTATCTTGATAGCATCATCGTATTTCCCTACATCATTTAGATGCTGAGAAGTCGACTTGATCTCTGCCCACGAAGTCATGTTGAAATGTCTGAGGTAAGAATTTGGCGTTGGTAGGGAGGGGAAACACAGCTTGGATTGGCTGGGACTTCAACGCAACTGCATGGCCTTACTAAGGAAGGTGTAAGATTGGACACCTACGTGCGGCTGAAAGTTAGCCACGTGCTTATTGCATAAATACGTTGGCAGCTTTCCTTGACCTTCACGCGCCTTTTTCTCCACAGTATACATCTACTAGAGTCTAAAGGAAAGGAAGTCGACAACGGTGGTGAATTCGAAGGATACTCTCACAAAGCCAAAAGACTTTTGTTCGGCCAGGGCAACATGGACGAGCCAGTTCCCAACTACGCCTCCGCGGAGCCCGAAGCGGGAATCCTCGACAGCTGGGAGCCGCGATTCTGCCATTTTGACAATCCGAAAGAGGGCCTGTGGCTGGGACAACACAATGTCGACGACACCAGCACCAGGACCAAGATCACACATATAGACTTTCTTGGCCTTGGCGTTATTGGAAGTGTTTGCTCTGTGGCATACGGAACATGGAGAGACAGTCCTAGCCGCCCGACTACTCCTGCTGCGCTCTTAGTCATGCAGTTTGACTTTAAAGCAGGCTCTGGACCACTTCGGTACAAGAGCGCGGAAATATCTATCTCATTCAAAGGACAAAAGCCCGGCGCCAGTCATCCTGTTATTCACCAGCTCTTTCCGACAAGTACCAAGTCCCGGAGCTCACAGCCTGCATCGCGAAAGTCAGCGTCGATTCTACCATCAGACCCTTTTATCTGGCCGCCAGACGAGTTCGTTATCCGGGGCAAGACCTGGTTGTCTAAAGGCGCCCAAGAACCAGACGAGGTAATCTGGAACATAAATGAGACCCACGGAAGTAAGTTCGGGATCTGTGAGCCAGTGAAACTGGGCCTCATAGTGACACATCAGGGGCCATTCCAGGCCACGGTGGAGGTCGAAGCTACTACTGCATTTAACCTTATCAAGATCAGCAACACTCCATGGTCTCGGGATGATCCCCTGTTATTCGACTGCGTCACTCACAAGGGCAGGCCGCTTCCGGGGATGGAGCTAAACGGACTCGATTCCCAAACCTTGGCGGACTACATTGCCCTAGCTAACCCATCATCATCCGCGCTTTCGGCCGTAGTCTCAAGTCTCATGACAGCACCTTCGCCGACACCTAAGCGCGAATCTGCTTCCACATCCTCAGGGGCTGTGTATAGAGTGCAGGGGATTCCAGCATCCTGTTTTAGAGGCCAATTCATCGGAAGTCTCGCAACAGCTCTCGATCTTGCGACATCTTCGATTCGGGTACATTCATTCATGCCGAATCCATATGGCAGCAGGGAGGAGATGATGTCCGTTTTATCATTCCATACAACTCCTGACTTCCTGCAGACGAAGTCCTCAAAGAAAGAATGGTATCTGAATATCACATTGCCGCCACAAGGAAACGAATCCGATTTAAACGCAAACACAAATACTAAACTCCTGTTGGACACGCACTTCCTTGGGTTTTCCGTTGTGGGAACGATCTCTGCAAATCCTACTGAGATTGAAGTTGAGTACGTCATATAAACTCTCTCACACTTTGATGGAAGCAGAATAGCTCATCGTACCAACCAACAGTATCGTTGCAGTTCACGGGCTTGGAGGACACGCATTTGGGTCCTTTAAAGAACGTGGCGGTAGTTACATGTGGCTTGAGGATTCGTTACCAGCACATCTCAGGGCTGCATTGGCCGGGTGCACTGCAAGGATTCTTTTGTACGGCTATGACGCTCGTGTTGAAAACAGCCCCTCCTTCCAGAGCGTTCATGACCTCGCGGAGAGGCTAAGAGGCTCACTAAGAGCAATCAGACCAGTCAGTACAATGGCCAGGCAGCTGTCGGCTAATGGTGAAAAGAATTAACTAACTGCAAAAGGGCATCGTCAAGAAACGACCCTTGATCTTCATAGGCCACAGTCTAGGCGGTCTCATCATCAAGGAGGTGCGTTTTCCTCGTTTTTTCTAACGCCATGACTATGAAAGTTGACTTTAATGTCAATATAAGCTTCTGGTAATACAGAACGAGCCCGGAGGTGACGGAACGGACATGTTCAATCTTAGAACTACCGGAGGCGCTCTGTTCTTCGGCGTTCCTCATCGCGGAATGGATAATTCTGCCTTGCTGTCTGTCATTGGATCGCAGGCCAACCGCGAGTTTCTTGAATCGCTGCGAATCGGTTCACCTGAACTCGAAAAGCAGTCGCAGATGTTTTCTTCTGTATCAGCCCTAGATGGGTCTGTTATCTTTTCGTTCTTCGAAACGTGTATCTCAGGAACAGCGAAAATGGTGAGTTTTCTTCCTACTTTTCATCTAGACCATTCTCGATCAGTATTAAACCTAGTCTAGGAAAATGGAAAATTAACAATGAATGGCGATCCTGCTATTCTCGTCACTGGATGAACACCTAAGTCAGGTGTGTCATTCACTCAGGCGGTCATGTTATAGGCCTTAAGGTTAAGCCCTTTTCTAGCGCTAGTTATATCAGTACTGTTAAGCTCACTCTTAAAACTGATTGTGTTATTCTTGCTGCTAGCACTTTCAGTAGTGCTAAGATTCTCCTTTACAGTGAGTCTTATTATATCTCTATATTATTAGAGTTTATTAGTTCTAATTATACTTTATAGGCAGTATTAGCTCAGATAATTAGCTTAATGTTATTACTAGCTCTAGCTGCAATAGGAACTCTATAATTAGTAAATATCAGTAGATTAACCTCCCTATTAGCTACAATCTAGAGGACTATACTAATATAAGTGCATATAATAGAGTTATCAGATTGTCTGGCTAACAGTATGGTAGACTGATACAGTTATAAAGCACTTTAGTGTTATGTTCTACGACTTCTATGAGGCCTATGATGACCCTATCCCAGCTGATAAGAAGAAGTACCTAGGTCAGTATTCATGATGTTCTCCAACTTAACTATGAAGGCTGACTTGGAGGTAGATGCGCGCTCCGGCATTCTCGCTCAAGCTGCCCCTAACATTGGCCCAATCATCTTTGACGAGATTTCTGGTGCTGATGGCCGCGTCCAGGCTGGCGAATCTATCTACCGATGTAGATGAAATGTAGATGTAGATAGATGTAGATCTACATCTATCTATCTACTAGAGGACATGTGGGTCTTCTATCTATCTACCTGGGGGTCCGGTAGATAGACGAAATATAGATAGATGCCAAGACTGCGGTGAAAATTGGGTGAGGTAGTTGTACTTTCTCGGTATTAGTGGCATCCTCCTGCACCGAAGTATCGGTACCTCTGATATTCCCTTCCCTAACCGTCCCTTATTTCCCGATTGCCCCACGCCATCCCCCTTTTTCGCTTGGGTCTTGGTTTGACATATTCTTATTGCCCTTAATGCCACCTAAAACTATTGCCTAAATGGCACCTCAAAGCGATTTATTTAGTTATGCAACTGATACTACTATATCAGAAATATCTTATCCAGAAGACCCAACCTTGCCTATGCATAATTCCTTGTCTCGCAGCAGCCATTCAATCATCAAAGACTGGGATGCAGTATCGCAAGCTGTCTGCAGCCATTGGGTCCTCTTAGCTCGAACTAGTTAAGCTACCGGCTGGTTTTGGGCTCACGGCTATGACGTTTAAGCTAGGTCTAAAGGCAATGAGTCTGGCCCCCATACATGGCTCTGTTGCCACTGTGTCTAGCATGGCGTTCCCCGGCCAAAGGCTTATATCTCATCTAACAGTCGGAACATCGAAGGTCATCTTAGCAAGGCCTATAATATTTTTCATCTAGATCTATCAAAAGCAACACGATATATGCAGGAGCGGCCCCCGAATTAACTGACCCTTTATGATTTGGCAGCCAAGAAACGGAAGAGGGACGACTTTCACGACGAGTTGGTTACTTGATTTGACAAGACCACGTTCCAGCGCCACGTTGTCTAGTGGATTACCGATGCAAATCTGTTATTTCGCGTACCGGAGCATAAAGGCCTCCAAAAGGTCTTTCAGTACCTGAACCCCTTGGTTCACGAGACTTCCGCTAATCTGACCCATGAAACGGTTCGGGCTAGGATCATCGACGAGTTTAATACATATAAATCGCGCGTTATCCACACGCTATCACGAAGCCTAAGCCAGGTTTATATTGCATTTAATGGGTGGGCGTCCCGGAACAGATATTCGTTCTTCTCCATATATGCCTTCTTTCTCGATGAAGATACATTCCAGCCACGGAAGATCGTCCTTGGCCTCCTAAACATCGCCATAGCGCACACAGGAGAAAATATCTTAGCCGCTGTTATGGAGGTGTTAGATGACTTCGAGTTGATTGCAAATAACAAGGTTGGATATATTATTCTCGATAACGCCGCAAGCAATGAAGGAGCAGTCGAAGCAATAGGCCACAAGCTCTAGTGGCAGAATCCGGCCAGCAGAAGGATTCGATGTTTCGGGCATATTCTTCATCTTGTCGCCAAAGCGCTCCTCTTCATTAAAGATAGCAATATACTCGAGGACCTTGATGCGGACGATTTCGCAGAGTGGATAAAAAGAGGTCCAGTAGGTAAACTCCATAACCTTGTCGTCTGGGTCAATCGGTCGAATAAGGCGATAGCAATTCTGCGGAAATTACAAGATGAGGACCCTGACAAGTCCTACCTAGGCACTCTTGATGTCGTCCTTGACAACAGCATACGCTGGTTGTCTCAATATTATATAATCGAGCGAGCAATTAAGCTCCGATGCTATCTGGAGGAGCTCATTGACATTACGATTCAATTAAGCAGGAAATTTCAATGACCCTGATCTACCCGTACCTAGCCGCTAAGCCAACTTCCTCGATGTCTTGAGGAAGTAAATCTACTGAGTGATGCAGACTGGGATGCCCTTAGTTAGTTTAGAGATATTCTTAGAATGTTCGATTCCTGTCTTTTGCGGCTTGAAGGGGACTGTCAGCTCTGAGTTCGTAAGGGAGGCGTTAAAGCTTAATATGGAATCATTTGGCAGGTTGCTGTTGCATTCGAATTCCTCCTTTCTATGCTAGAGAAAGCAAAGACTGAGGCAACACACCGGGCGGAACCTAGTTACTATTCCTTATGCGTTAATTCGGCCTGGGCTAAGCTTAATAAGTACTACACCAAGCTTGATGAGACGCCAATATACTATATAGCCACGGTTCTCTACCCCGGTATACAATGGTCGTTCTTAATAAAAGCCTACAGTGAGAAGGAGGAATGGCTTTTCGCGGCACGCCAGCTCATCCAAAAGCTCTAGGAAGAGGAGTATCGCGACCTTCCCGCTTAGTGGGAAATCTCGAGCAGTAACCTTCCTGCCGCGGTGAGGGCGCGCGAGTATAATCCATTTGATTCCTTCCAAGACGAATTAATATCATCTACCTGCCATGGCCATGACGAAGCTACAGATGAACTGGAGAGGTGGTTGTCTATAAAGCAAGACATATACACAACATACGACAATCCTCTTGAATACTGGTCTGCGAAGCGATTTGAGTATCCGCGAGTGGCGAAAATGGCGATTGACATCCTCTCTGTCCTAGCAATGGCTTCTGAGTGTGAGAGGACCTTTTCTTCCGCTGGTAGTATGGTTTCGCCCAAGAGGTTACGCTTAGATGCAAGCATAATTGCCGTTACTTAGACAGTAAGGTCGTGGTTACGGGCTGGGCTGCTAGAAGGGTATAAAGGTTTGCTGAAGGAGGTGGGCGACGACACGGCCGAGGATTAGCCGACCGTCTATTTACCGAATCTATCTACATCTACATGTAGTCTACATCTATCTATCTACATTGCAAATTATGACTAAGCATCTACATCTATCTACATAAGATGCCGGTAGATAGATGTAAATAGATTCGCCAGCCTGATTCCAGTCCTGCCAATTTTGTCCAGGGTCATGGAAATGGCAGGAAGGAAAATTTGATTCTCGGTTCTCCATACGAAGACCAGCCGGAAGTTGCCCAGGTGCTAGATATGATCGATCCGAGGTCGCGAAGTGGTTTTGTGACCCAGCCGCACTTGGACGGGTGAAATGTTGGGGATGGACTTTGGGCGTTGGGCATTCATGCATGAGTGTGGCAGCCTGAGCCAAAACTTGACGCGTTGCCTTAAAGTGTTGCCGTGTCTTAACGTGTTACCAAACACCAATCAAAAATTCAAGCCGACCCCTAGTCAAGGTCAAACCCCCCTTGACTAGGGACTTTTCGAAATTCAAGTCTACCCCCTGTAATGCAGGGTAAAATAAATCAATTCTACTACAATTGATTTTGATATGTAGCACTAGGTTGAAAAGAGTCTGCGTGTGTGTTTTTTAGATATGAAAATGACCTGCCGCTTAACAGCTCCAAACTCAGCATCCACTGGAACCCGAACCCGATTTCCATACCAAATTTATTGATCGAGGGGCTGTGCCGCTCAAAGCAATAACCTCCGATCTCAAACGGCTATTATGATTTAAATAGTTCAAGCCAAAGATTCTGACTTTTTAGGTCTGGGGTATACTGCGTTACAGGCAGATATTGCTGACATGTGATGACCATAGGAATGGAAAGTTCCACCTACACCGCATATGCCGGTCACGAAGGGCGGCCAATACATGGGCACCTAGGTGCCCATGTATTGGCCGCCACAGATTTTAATTGGCTTACAAATATCAACTCTGCCCCTGTCAAGAAATTCAACTCTACCTCCTGTAAAGCGGGGCAGAAAAATCAATTCTACTACAATTGATTTTGTCATTGACTTCTAGGGTCATGTTCGTCCACAAATCGGAACTTCATTGTTGCTTTCTGTTGCTGGTGACATCTGCTGACTTCACTTGAGACATTGAGGTCGGGCACTCATACCCGCACAGCCGGCTGTGCGGGTATGACTCCCCCATTGAGGTCTTGGGGCTGTGAAAGCGCGCTAACCTGATTAGGAAGATGTAACGCTCACATTAAAAAGTTTACTAGTCTAGAATAGGAAAATGTAACGCTCAACCGCAATCTGTTCTCTGGCGGCCTTCGAGGTCATTGAGTTTAACCCCGTGATACAACAGCAACATAGATCTAAAACATAAAAAATGCATTTCCATGTTATTGATGCATATAAATAACCAGTTAAACTATACAAGACGAGGAATTCTGGTTGTGGTCTTAAAAACCTAAGTGCTGATTCCCCCCTGGATTTAACCTACCTCCTTTGACCCTCTCTTAACCCTCTAGGTCACTCTAGACCTTAGAGGTTAGCTTTACTTCCTATCCTTGTTAACCCTTTCCTTAGGCCTTTCTCTCCCTCCTTCTTCTGAATTTAACTTTAACTTTAACCTTGCCCCTTAACCCTAGCCTGCTATTGGGTTAGGGTTAGGGTTACAGTTAAACCCAGGCTTACGATCTGACTTAGGACCGCTCTCGACTTACCTTCCTCTACCTTTAAGACTTCCTAGTTTAAATAAAAACCTAGGGTTTTACTATAGGTTTTAGCCTACCCCTAAGCACTCTGCTAACTCCCTTAAACACCTGCTAGTCTCTTAACTTCCCGGTTTAAAGAAAAACCCAGGTTTTGCCTTAGGGTTAGGGTTACCAGTAGATCGCTGTTACTCTTTCTCTTTCTACTATTTCTTTCTAGCACCCCCAACCCTCTCGACTTCTTAGATTAATTAAAAACCTGAGGTTTTGCTTTAGGGTTAGGGTTAGGGTTACGCACAAACCAGTATTAACTCTCCCCGAAACTGTTAGTAGTAGTTAAATTATAATAATTATATTTATTTAATACCTTTATATATTAATTGGCTAAAGCTTTGCTTTTTTATTTTATATTATTAGTTGTTTTTCCTTAAGAGAATGGAAACTTTGTCCTCTAAATGTATTTTAGTATTTATACTTACTATCTTAATATAATAATAACAGTAATACTTCTCCTTCCCTTCTCCCTACTCAAATTCTCCTAGTAAAAGAGCAGCTATATAGTTAGCATTTATATATTAACTACTACCTAGAGAGGTACCTTTACTAAGCCATAATATGTATTCCTGGCATATCTTAAATAACTGGTTAAAATGCTTTAAGAACCATTTAGTATGGCCTAGTTAACTAAATGCACTAAAGCATAGAGGCATTACTATATCTAGGTATTAGCATAAGTTATCCCCTTTATACTCTAGATCTGCAGCTTGGCAGATCTCTTGCAGCTAGTAATACTTCTAGCATACAGTATACCAATCTATCTATTCCTTCTTCTTACTCTAACAGTCTTAAAGTGCTTTTTACTTAGCTTAAATCTAATTAAAATATTAAGCATAAGCTATTATAGTATACTTAAATGATTTTCCTTCTATGCGGTAATAAAGATAATAGCCTTTTATTATCTTAAGATCTCTTTTATACTAACTTAATTCTTTATTACGTACTTAGTCTTAATGGAGCACCTTGGCAGGTCTAGTAAAGATTATCTTACTAACGGTAAGGTCAGCGCTGCCATTATCCCTATCCTATCTGGCTTTAGTCTCATCACATAAGGGCCGTAGTAGATAGAACTCTAGGGTAGGCGGTCAGCATTATGCATAATACTCGGGATAAACGCTATAGAGCTTATCGCCCTCTATGCACTACCGCCAGTCAGGTTTACTATTAAGGAATTAGCTTAAGACCCTATGCAAGCAGTATTCCTGCAAAAGATATAGTTATATGGCCTCTTTATCTGCTGCTACAGGTCGACCTAACTGCGGCTGCCAGGCTGCACTAAGTAAAACGATTGACTTGGCTACTTTACCATCCTAACCCGCTCTACCTAACTCCTGAGAGAAATCTATCAGAAGGCTTAGGGCATTGACGTAAATAACTAATTAAATATAAGGGTAGTTAAACCCAGGACCTAGCACTAATATCGCCACGATAATAGGCAAATCAGCTGCTATTAGCCATCGCTCTATAATCGCTATCTTCTCTTCTTCTATGCCGGACTCGGCTATATAGGATAGACAGCCAAGCTTATTAGCAAGCTCTGCCATAAGATCCTTTATTAGATAGTATATAATAACCCTATCCCGCTTGCTCTTAAATAGGTCTATCCGGATCAAGCAAGACTATATAAGACAAGCTGCCCACTTACATAGATTACCTAGCCCACGTTCTTGCTAGATAATATATCGGATATTAGGACGATTTATTGACTCTCTGACGATATGCGGCTACATAAGCTTATTATACTTAAAGAAAAGCTCTTAATAGATTGGTAGTAGTATCGCTATCAGCCAGATAGTCTGTGTATAAATCTGCCGCACATGCCATGCTAGCTGCAATATACTTCGTTAGTAACAGCTTACTGTAATCATAAGATAGCATTCATTAATCACGATCTAATCTAGACACTGTCTATTAGATAGTCAGTTAGTATACTCTAGGAACGCCTCTATATAAGCTGCCTCGGCCGATATAATAACAATAGGGGCTAATTTCTTTAAGCCTGGGCGCCAGATATAGTGCTTTAGCACGACTTTATTAAGGCACCTAAGCATATTACTATATAAGGCTATAGTAGGAAGGATTAGAATGGTTATTTTAGCTCCTGCTAGTATAGCTCTGACTATGAATACTAATATCTTCCCTAAACCTATTGCAAGAACGATAATAACCTGCTTAAGTGCACGTAGACCTATAGTCACCAGCATAGTATCTCGCTAACCAGGGCAATATAGTTATAGCTCTAGGTCGTTATGCAACCTACAGGCGGCCGCAGTGATTCCATATTCTTTGGCAGCCGGCCTTGCATGAAACTGCACCTTCTTGTAAGCCTTGAGTAGCCCTTGCGCTTAAGTATCCGATACGGTATGCGGCTGCTTGCCCTAGAGCACTTAATTAATCCGAAATAGAGACCGCTAGCTTTAAGATGCTCGGTAGGCACGGTAAAGTGAGCTTGTTACGGTCAAGGTCATGCTGCCGGCATAGCTATAGTTAAATATCCAGAAGGTATAATTGCTTATCCCAGTAAGATACGCAAGATCCGCTTTATCCTTAACTTCTTTAGATACTGCGATCTTACCTATATCAAAATTAGCCTGCTCCCTGGCGCTAAACTTCTCCTTAATAATAAAAGCAGCAACTTGGCGCCACCATGCTACCTAGAACTAGGGCACCTCGGCCTGCACGTATGCCCTCTGGAGGCAGGATGAGACCATACTGTCCCTCCAGACCTCGCCGCTAAGCTTTAACTATAGGTACGGCGAAAGTAGAGCCCCCGGCTTGCTCTGACATAGAAAGGCCTAATACAAGGGCAGCATGAACGCGAGATATATTAAGAGAAGGTTTCTAACAGCCGGGGGTAGGAATCTGATATTATCCTTCTCCTCCCCGGTCTATTCCTGGCTTTTACTATATCGCATATATATTATAACTATCTTCTCCTACAGAAATACCGATCGGCGGCAGGCACCTGTGTTAATATATGTAATAGAGAGTAGTTCTAGGGAGCGTAATAGAGGGCCTAAAGGAGCCGAGATAGGTATCAGTATCCTCTTGAGGAACTCCTGAACATGCGCCTTATAGATAGCTATCGCCTTAGGGCAGAGGCGAACCCCACCGTTCGGATCTGGCCGCACAAATACCTGCCATAGATCCGCCCTCCCTTCGATCTGTCAAAGCAGGGCATCATACATCCCCGCCAGTATCTCGCAATTCCTCTCATCTATCAACCACAAAGCGCCATAGTTATCTATATCTAGATCATCGTATAGCCTCCACGCCTCAATCGGAGCAATATCCCTCATTCCAAACAAGAGCTTATCATACAGGAGTAAGTACGCCTGGCAGAACTCAGACTCGACTAGCTATGTTACCTGTTTTATGTATAGTTTTGTCCCTATATAGTTAACTGTTTCCCCATTAAGGGACCAGCGGGCTTGGTGCTTGGCAAGACTGTTGCAGGAGGCCGCAAAGAGATATAGCCTCTATTATAGTATATATCCGAAAGGCATCTCCGCTATCTGCTAAAAGTACTTCTTACATATTTGATCTAGCAGATCGGGAATTCTATCTTTATCATCCTACTTCTAGAAGCATATGAAGTCGAACAGGATAAGCTAGGCAGTCTAGGTGAGCGCGGATAGATTGCTGTTAAAGTTCCCTGGTTCGCGCCATATGCACCGCTTATGCTGCTCGTTATCCACCTGGCGCATTAGAGCCTTTATCCGGCTAAGCATAGCACAGAAGCTCAAGATAGCAGACCAGAATGGCCTACTTCCGACAATCTGGCAGATAAGCGAGACATAAAATTTGCAGATGGTATGCTTCAGCTTGGCATCACGCTCCTTATCGCTCCCACTATCCATCCCTTTATCATCATTATCGTCGCTGCTTGCACCTTCCTTTATCATTTTGTCCTGCCTCTGCAGCGCATTAATGATATCCTCCATGGCTCGCCGCTGTAGAGGGGTCGTTTTGATAACGTCTCGCGGTAAGGTCTGGTGGCCATATTCTCTCATGAAATAACCGTCATTACGGAATGCTTCCCGATAATAGTACGCAAGGCGCTAGTCACTTAACTCTCTATAGCCTATAATGGAACTCTTTTAGAAGATTGTTGTATGCTCCTGGCCACTTCTTTTCTTTTTGCCGGTGCTGGGTGATAAGCTCTTACATGCAGGCTTCGATATTCCGGACTGTTTTTGCTTATTCTTATCGCTTTACTCTAAGGCTTTCTTCATCTAAGGTAGCCTCAGAATCATTATCGCCTTCTGGGTCTGAATCCGATTCGACTTCTAGTCGCTTAGAAGCATGATTCCGGCGATTTCGGCGTAAATTTCGCTAATAGTGTTGAAGAAGCTTGTATTGTTTAAGGGCTTTCCGGAGAAAGGCAGCGCACTTACCAGGTAACTCGCTTTCTTCAAACGTCTTTAGCATATATATTCGCCTTCTCGCGCACCACTTCTCGGCATTACCTAGATAGTCAGGCGTAGAGATATTAAATTCGCTAACAGCCACTAATAGTATCGTCATGTTCCGAGGTAAGGAAGCCAAGTTCTGCTCCCAAAGGCTAACCAGCTTACCAAGCAACTTATCCTAAGAGATACAAAGTAACTTCTGTTCTAGGTGCATAATATATGGCATATAACTATTCGTAAAGTAGCCTGGTAATAATTCCTAACTGTTACTTAGATAATGTTTGATATTAGATGTTAGTAGTGGCTGCATAAGCGAACTAAGTTATTGCAATTATATATAATATAAATTAAGTCTATAGTAAAAGCTAGGCTACTATATAAATTCCTTAGTCTCCTTATCTTTATGTATAAATCCTTAGCTCTAGGGGTAGGGCAGCATCTAATGGCTTTTGAAAAATGACTTCTTTAACTCTTGCCGCCACTTTCAAGCACTATCTATACCTCAAGCAGTCTTCACGGCCTAAAAACTTTACTAAAATAGCATATAATATAGCTTATCTTTCTATCCTTTACGTTTAAAGTAGCTATCTTTCCATTCCCAGAGCCATGCAAATAGGATATCAATATTTTTAACTACTAATCGGTTCCCATATACAAGCTAGGGCAGGCAGTAGCGCTCAGCCAGAGCATCATACATACTATCATAGCAGAGAGGTACCTCGCCCGCTAGGGCTGCTTCTACATAATCGGGATATAACACAGACTTAATATAGGTAAAGACATCTTTTCAAAAAGCATATAAGTAAAGCTATTAGAGGTATTTCTCTAGGAGTTATAGATAGTTAGGGACCGAGCTAAACTTAATCATCTATTATCAAGCTTTATCCACTCAAATAAAATCGATCTATATATCTCGCACTTAACAGTATCAAGCATGGTAGGCAGCTTGTATAGATAGGTTATTAAATATCATAAAGGCTATATAAGGTTGTTTAAATATAAGCATTTCCTAATCGACCTTATTAAGAAACCACGTATACCTATAAGTCTCTATAATATATCGAAATCCAAGACCTTCCATCTATCAGAGTCTATTAGGCTGGCTTGAATCGGGTTAAAGTCGAAGATCTTGCTAACAACCGCCAGATTTTTATATAAGGCCTCTAGAGTATAAGAACTAAAGGCATTAAAGGAATATAAGCATGATTTGGGTATATTCCTATATTATAAAGTAAGGGTCTTAAAGGCTATAAACTATTTTAAATCTAATATAGAATTTATTAATATTCTATCGCAGCTAGCATAGTATAGTTTCTATTATAAAGTTATAGTATAGAGAGTTCTAATTAGCCGGTACTATAAAATGCTTATCTTATAACTGCTAAGCATAGAACTCTATATTAATAGCATTAAAGAGGCCATTAGAGATATAATGCTCTTCCCTAATACTAAACGACTTTTTTATTAACCCTAATAAAGCGAAATAGCAGCAGAGCTTAGTATATAGGTATGCTTTTATTAATGCTGCTAGCTAATAACTTAAGGCGCCCCTAACTAATTCCCAAGTTCATTATAACTTTTTATCCAATATAAGGGTTTCAATTACAGTATTAGTAAATAGATTAACGTTCCCTGCCGCAAAAACCTCTTTAATATTAAGGTAAAACTAAGAATATAGAAGTCTAGCTTTACGCCATAAGGATCGCTAACCTATCTTAACAGTCAGGCTTCTAGTATTATAAAGCATACTAAAAGGATAAAACATTTACTTCTTAATTTCTTAAGCAGTAATATTATTTTATACTAAATATAAGTATAATTAGAGATAATAACGCTTATATAAAAGCATCCTAGCCAGAGTGCATGCCAAATTGTTAATATTGCCATTTAATATACCTTTATTACCAATTAATATAGCTTAAGATGCCTATTAAGGGCAGGTCTCCTTTCCTATATCGAAATAGAAGTCCGCTATAACATACTCTTTATCGATCGCGTAGGTCTAGTAATTCCAGAATTATGCCATTATTTATAACTAGGTAATATCCTTCATTAAGACCTTTAAGTTCTTGGCTTATAGGAGCATAGTAATATTGCGGAAGTAATAGAAACCTAATTCCTAAACTGCATACTAAATAGAAGCCTATATAGCTCCTAAAGACTTAGGCAGGAGGTAATACTTAAGCTATTACTTTCAAGCAACTAGATGCACTCTTTAGGCAAGCGTCTTAATGCCGTAAGTAGTAGCGTTATATTTACTATAATTATAGCTTAAGGGGTAATATTAGACATAGGAATTGCTATAATAGTTATAAATAATAGGAAGTAATATACTATCTATCTATATGCAGAAATCTTCATCCTAGAGCCAACTAGACTTTTGCTCTTCCTAATATAAGTTAGGGAATAGCAAGTATAGCAATATATCTTCAAATCTAATAAGGCAACTAAAAGTATAATGCAGGATTTAATATACAGGATAGTAAACTTAGCATTAGTTTCCCACTATATCTAGGTATTATACCGGTCTCAGGCAGAGGTAGAGATCTAACTATAGGTCTGAAATAGGCATCTAGGTAGGAGACTAGCGAATTCCTTGCTTAGCGATAGCAAGGTTACTAGGAAACCCTGTAATGCTATTTATATTAAAGCTAACCCTAGTAACATGCATGATTCGTTTGTCCTTATTTAAGCAGATATAAGGCGCCTGACCTCTAGAGCCGAGGCTATAATAAACCTATCGCCGGTCTAAGCTACTTATCTTTCCAGAAAGGTCATCTTCTAGAGATGTAATGCAAGTAAAGCTTAGAACCTCAGGATAAATATCTATAGTGCTTTCCAGGTAAGCAGTAAGGCTAATATACTCCCTTTAGGTCTAATCGTGCTAGACCTTTGCTAAACTATAATAGTCTATATAATACCCTTAAAACTTAACTAACTGCTATACTAGCTAATATCTAAGACATTTTACTTAATATTTATAGTCTATATTAGCAGGTAGTAAGGTTTCTATAGTATTAACCGTAGCTATTAGAGGTAGGTTTTCTATATTACCTTCTAAATATCTTAAAACTAGTAATAGTACTCCTAGAACTTTATTACTCCCTAAAGGGGACCTTTCTAGCAAATATAGCTCTAAGGGAGAGGTAGGCAGAGGAAGGAGATACAAGAAATCTAGACTATCAAGTTCTAGAGCATAATATCTAATCTCTAATAGCATAGCAGCACTCTCAAGTTAATAATCAGACCGTTGGACCAAGGCTCTACTATCGACTTAAAGTAAAACAGGGGGTAAGGAGAGAGTACCTGCATTATAGAAGTAAGCATGTTACTCAGCCCTTTTATTAGAAGTTACTTTCTGCCGCTTTGCTCGCCTTTATTCGATATTCGTATTCGTTTTATCCTAAGGAGTAGCGTATTAGCATAGTCATCTGCGCCTCTTACATCCGAGCTCAGAACTAAGTGACTTATTCATACTTAAAGGCTTAATAGGTGCTATTTAGACATATAGAATAGAAGTTTGGGACTGGTAGGGATAAAACAAAACAAATAAAGTACTACACAAATACATCTATAAACCCCCTAAGGTTACAGATATAGAGATTACTTAACTAAACAGACTTAGCGCAGGTATGCAGTGCACTAGCTTATAGAAGGACTAGTTTTAACCACGAAAATCAAATTAGGTTTAGTTTTAACTACAAAATTCTAATTAGCTATAGGCTGGCAAAGTGACAATAAGGTTTATAACTAATATAAGCAATAACGTTATAATAAGAGTAGGAATGAAGATAAAAAGAGTTTTTATAATATCTAAATAACCTTAAGACTAGATATAGTATATAAAAAGTAGTTTTAATCAGCTCCCTACGCCCATATCTAGTCACCTTTTTCATAATGTCTTATAAACAACAGATATTCAAGGAATTCCTCTAAGTAGTTACTATAATGCCATGCCTTCTTTTCTAGAAGCTTTAATTTAGCCTCTGAATTACCCTCAATCTATGCTTTTTATAAAGCGGCATTGGTCTATATTTTCCGGAATGCCTAGCCACTACTTTCCGGCAGCTATTAAAAGAGGTTATTAATAAATAAGTAACCTATACTTACATCTACTGCATTATCAATAAGCTTATCCTATGGAATTTATAGTAATCCAAGCTCTATAGTCAACTAGTCTTTATACTCCTTATAGAAAAGTAGATGCTTATATAGTAGCATTTTAGCTCTTTATAAAGCAGCCTGCAGTATAGACTAGACCCCGAGGATATTAATATAGATGCCTTTATAAATCGCATCCTTGTTATCCTAACTAACTAAACCTGGCATTGCCTGCTAACTGCTAGCCGCCATGCTATAATTATAAAGCCAAATAATAAATTGTATTAGCATAGTATCCTAACCCTTAGCGCTACTAACTAGAAACTGGCATATTATCTTAGATATAATTTTAAAGTGCCTTAGATTCTTCTCTTTAGCTTCTTATCTAGTCTATCCTTGCTCTACCTTCTGCTAAATATATAAAGCCCTCTTATTAACTATATACTTTATAAGAAATACTTAAGAGATGGCTATAATAGCTAAGAGTTTAAGGGTAAAGTTTATATAATTCTCCTAAGTCTTATTATCTTAAATACTTAATATAGTTAAGAAGCTAATAAGTATACTATTATACTTAGTTACCTTAGTAAAGTAGTTAAGAATAGAGATATAGAAGATAAGTATAGTATTCTTAAGGAGTTTATATAACTTATTAATTTATAATAATACCAGTATAGGCTTAACCTTATTCTTAATATTAATAAGTTCTATAATATAGTCTATTATTATATTAAAAGCAGTAGTTTGGCCCTTAGTAAGCTTAAATAGTAGTTAATTAGCTGCATTTTTATAAGATATAGCCTAAATAGTATAGGTAAAGAATTAAAGATAGATAATAATGTACTTTTTCTAAGTCTGGCACTTAAACCGGAAGTAAAAGGGCATGCTATGCTCTTTATATAGTTCTTTCTGGTTAACCTTAAATAACACGTTCTAGGAGACTGCACTAGGCCTAGCTATACTAGAAGCTTTTCGAATTAGATATCTAATAGCTATATATATATATTAAAGCTTAGAATTATCCTTAAGGTTATCTAGCTTTAAAATATACTTTAATAAGATAAAGTCTTTTAGGAATTATTTCTTATTACTAAAATCTTTTAAGTAGGCTATTAATCCTAATTAATAAAGCCATAAGTTAAATACTATTAAGTCGCCTATCTCTTTAATAACCTTTATCTCTTTCTTTTAGGCCTCTTTAGACTTTACCTAAAAGGCTTATATAGCCTATTAAATAGCAAGCTCTGCCTTTACTTACTTAATATCTAGACTTTCTAAATTATAACCTCTTATAACCTTAAAGTATTTACTATATAGACCTTTAATAAAGAGCTGCTAATAAAACATACTACCTCTCTAATAAGGCAAGTCTATATCTATTTTAATAGTACTAGCCTTCTAGGGACTAGGCTTTAGGTCTAGCTTAATGCTATATACTTTCCTAAGGTATTTATTTCTTTATCTTAAGTTTGCATTTATAATCTGGCATTCTATAGTAAAGATATATTAAAACCCTCTGCTTTTAGGCTTGCCAAGTGCTTCGATTAGTTAACTAGTATCTAGAATAGGCAGCAGAGCCAATATCTCCTTATCGCTTTTAATAAGGTTAAGTGCTTTAGCCTATAACTTGACTTTATTAATCTCCCTCTTTATAAGTCTATATGGTCTACCGCGAAGATGTGCTTGGATTCTTCGGCATGTAATCATATAATTGCATGACCTACAGCACAGAAGGCGCAGGTCATTTATATAGTTAAAATATTCCATCATACTGACTCAATATTCAATAGCAGTATTAACAGCAATATAAGTAAGAATAAATTAAAGAATATCTTTTTTCCAACCTTATTAAACCCCTTTTACCTGCTTCTTAGGTAAACTTACTTTTCTTCTGTTAATGACAGCTGATGTAAGTGCGACCGCCATGTCTCTGCGCGGCAGTTGAGGTGAGCTCCTGATTAGGTGCTATGTATAGGCTACCCTTGCCAACTGAGTAACATCAAATCCAGCATCTACAGTCAAATCCAATAATTAATCGTATTCGAAACATTTGTTTAAGGAAAAAAGCATTCTATCATAATCCTATAATAGTAATTTATAAACCTATAAGTTTTCACATAGATTATATTACTTATTATAGGCAAACTGGAGTTCGTCAGTTACCCCAGATTTAGTTCGTCAGCTGCCCCATATCATGCTAGCGTCCTTTCATTTCCCTACCAAAATTAGTTCGTCGGTTGCCAAACGACGCGGGGGATGCTGTTAGAGGGCAGTTGGTCAAAGAACAAGCTAAGCAACGTGGTCAAAAAACTGCAGTTGTTGTGCCATGGCAAAACATCAGACTTACTTACGTGGACCTTCAGTATCGCAGCTCTGTTGCTGCTAAAGCCCTTCTCAACGTAGGCTTGAGGCATGGCGATACAGTTGGGATATTTGCTGGTAATCGCTACCAGTATATCGAGTTGTTTTTGGCATCTGCCAGAATCGGATGCCCTTTCGTGGTTTTTAACACTACAAACTCTCCTCAGGAGCTTTGCTCCGCGGTGACTCGTAGCGGTGAGTCTTAGACAACTAACGCCATAGACTTTGCAGTATACTAATCTGGTTCACAGACTGCAAGGCATTATTTATTGCATCATCCATTGGACCTATAGACACAGACGCACATATTTATTACATTACCACAAAGGTAGAAGTAGGGGCTTGCTTGGAACAGCTCATTACGTTCGATCGATCTCCGTCCCAGGAACTTTTCAACTGTTATAAGTATGAGGACTTCCTTACTGGTGGCACCAACAGATCTATAAGCGACTTAAAGTTTAAGCTGGCTGAGACTCAAGTTTAGCCTTCCGATGTGTTGAATATGCAGTTTACATCTGGTGAGAGAGCTTCCATCCATCAGAAGTCTTCTGATTCAGTTTGAGGGTTCTAACATTTCTCAAGGTACTACTGGCCTTCCGAAAGCTTGCATGCTTACACAAAAGTAAGATTACATCGCTTTACAGCTATCTTCATTCATCTGACAATCCACTCTAGGAACCTGCTCAACGACGGCCGATACGTGGGGCAGGCTATGCGACTAACTCAGGAAGATATTGCATACTGTCTACCACTGCTTTGTCACTGTTTTAGCCTAGTTATGGGCTTCCTTGCTTCCTTCACACATGGTAGCGCAATTATGTTTCCTTTAAACAAATTCAATGCCAGGGAGACTCTCGATGCGGTCGAGTCAGAAAAGGCTACTGCACTACTCGGTATACCCACAATATTTGTATCAGAACTGCAACAGATGGAGTCACAGCCTCAGAACATCACAACAGTGCGCACTGGTCTTGTTGCTGGCTCACCTGTATTACCCAGTTTAATGGATGAGCTCAGAGCCAAGATCAATATCAACGGCATGCTTATTGCATATGGCATAACTGAGACGAGCCCTATCACCTTCATCACTTCTCTAGACAATCCGGAAGACAGGATGCTGACCAGTCTCGGTCGTGTTCTTCCCCATACCGCAGCCAAGATAGTTGACACCAAAGGAAACATGGTTCCCGTTGGTGAGCGCGGAGAGATCTGTACCAGTGGGTTTGCGTTGCAAAAGGGATACTACAGAGACGAGGGAAAAACACAGGGGGCAATGTGGCGGGACGAGAATGGCGTGTTGTGGATGCATACTGGGGACGAGGGTTACTTAGATGAAGAAGGATACGGCTTCATCACTGGTCGCATCAAAGATCTGATTATTCGAGGTGGTGAGAATCTATCTCCAAGCGAGATTGAAAACCAGCTACTACGTCACCCAACAATCAGAGAAGCCTGCGTCGTGGCAGTCAAGGACAAGGTTCACAGTGAGGTTGTCGGAGCATTTTTACAGTTATGCTCACTTGAAAAGAGGCCATAAGATATAGAGATCATGGATTGGGTTTTGAATGATCTCAGTCCAGTCAAGGTGCCGGCGTTTATCTTCTGGCTTGGTCACCAAGGCGTGGATGCTGAGTTGCCCAAGATAGGAAGCGGCAAGTATTAGAAGCATATTATCCGCAACTATGCGAATCTACTAGTAGAGAAGAGAAGTAAGGCGAAGGTTTATATATAGATATAATGCAAGGTTTAACCCATAGCTGTTTTCTCAGCGCTTTTGACCCGGAATCAAGTCTGATTCTCGAACTTGTTCGTGTTGGATTGGCCTAGGCGGGAATACAATCTCGACCAATTAGGTGCACTGACGATTAAGGACTCTCGTCTCCTTTCTTCGGGACCTCCGGGCCAGACCGCAATCTTCAAAGAACTTCTAGTCACTTCCAAAGCATTTCGTGAAAATAACTGCTGATCCTGAACTTAATTAATTACAAAGCAGCGGTAAAAGAGCGTGGGTCGCTTGCTTTAGGACCCCATGCCATACTTGATTAGGAAAGCGCGCGCTCTATGGCTCGAAATTTAGCTCGATTTAAGGATACTCACGGACAATCACGTTAGTCTATGTCATTGGCAACGGTCGGTGCCTTAAGTAGGCCGGTCCCAAACCCAGTGTTGGCAGGATTGCATCGACATTTCACATTCAAGAATAATCACCTAGATTACTCGTCACATTTGACACTACAAAAGCAGTCTCCATTCTTACCAATTCACTTCCAAAACCCCAAAGACTCAACTCAACATGGTTGTCGTTGCTGTAGCTGGAGGCACTGGCGGCATTGGCAGCGCTATCGTTGATACGCTGCGGCAAAGCCCTCAGCATAAGATGATTATTCTAACACGCAAGGTGAGATCGATCTCCAGCAACAATAATAAACAAGAACCGATATCTAACGGATGTCAAGATTCCGGCTACGTCTCAATCCTCTGATACCTTTGTCTCTGTCGATTATAGTGATGCCGACTCAATGGCAAAGGTGCTTCACGAGAACAAGGTCCACACCATTATCTCAGCCCTCCGCGTTTTTGATCCAGCTTCCTCTGAGGCCGAGTCCAACCTTGTCAAGGCAGCGGCCCAAGCTGACAGCACCAAGCGCTTCGTGGCCAGCGCCTGGGGCATCGCATATGCTGAAACGTATCTATCTCCCCGTATCTTCCAGAATCATGATGGCATGTTGACATAGGCTAGAACATCTGTTGGCAAAGCCCGAGGACGCACTTTAGCCACGCTGCGTACGACCGACCTGGAATGGACGCGTTTCGACAACGGCTTCTTCCTCGACTACTACGGGCCGCCGTCCTTGCTGAAATCTTACATGAATCGTGTTGCTTGGGCAATCGATATAGTGAATAAGAAGGCCGGTATTCCCGGGACTGGTAATGAGCCAATGACGTTCACGTATACCTTTGATGTCGCCAAGTTTGTGATCGCAACTTTAGATCTACCCAAGTGGGATGAGTTGATGTATTGCCACGGAGAAAAGACGACTTGGAATGAATTCCTTAAACAGGCCGAGGAGGTTACAGGTAAGATAATTCCTAGAAATTGCATCTACAGGCTATTGACCTATGTATCCTTTTTCGAAGCTGACGAAATGCTGCCGGATTTTATAGGTTCCAAGTTTGATGTCTCATACGATCCTCCCGAGAAGCTACAAAAGGGCGAGGTTACTTCACTCCCTTCCAATGAGGGCACGCCCGATTTCCCTAGACAGGTGCTGGAGGGCCTTATGTCCTTCTGGGGCCTCTATGCGCTGGAGGGCAAGTACGATATGCCGACAGACAAGGCCATCAACAAGGTTTTCCCAGATATTCAGCCTCTAAAGGTAAAGGATGTGCTGGAAATGTGGCGGGATCAGTGAAGAGAAGCTTTTACCTAGTGGTTGTATGTATGAGATAAGAATAATGGGAGCTAGGACTGCGCAGACCCTCACAGTAATAGGACCGGAGAACCCATTATGCTAAAGCATGCAGCCAAATTCCACTCCAAATTCAGTTCTCCTCGTCTGCTCCATACATGCTCTAGGATCCGGAGTGACTCTCCCACTAGGCCAAATGACTGTAGTGACCCCAAACCCGCCGCCAGATCCCTGAACTCTTTCTCCTGACTTGCATCGGCGACACAACCGGCAACGCAGAACGGCCACACAGAGCTGCGTAGGATCGCAGGGTTCTCGTGCTGTTGGAGCAGGCTCAACACCTCACCAGCGCTCTCGCGGATGGCCGGGAGGTGCGGCTGCCAACCGTGCGTCACTACTGCAAGGTATATGCGCGAAGCATATGCCCAGATGCGGGTCGCCGCGGCTTGCTTGGCGGATTGGTTTGCATCGCTGGATAAATAGAAGTTTTGCAGGATGCGGCGAGGTTCTCTCTCTCGCTCTCTGCATCGCCCGTCAAGTCCTTTTAGGCCTTGTTGAAGTGCCCCATCGAGCTGGTCACCCCGGTTGGCGAGGTCCTCGGCGGCCAATGTGCCGTTTGCTTGTTCCTCCCTCTTCCAAACGTCGAGCGCCGCAGTCTCAGCAATTGCAATCAGTGCCCAACCCTCACAACCCATGTATTCCTCCATGCGGAGGAGAGGTTCTGTGGTGGCACCGCCGTACTCGTGGCAGATCAGGTTGGGGTAGTATTTCCGTAGGCGAGGTACTGTTTGTAAGGAGGTAGAGGAGACTATGTCTGCCCACAACAATATGGCAAAAAAGAAGCGGAGAGCGGCTTGTTCGGTGTTCCAGACGGGGCGTTCGGTGGTGAGAGGCACCCATGACGGTCTCTCTAGCTCGGCCATGGCCCTTCTGATGTCGATTTTGTCGTTCAGTTTGCTGGGTTCGAGGATATCTTCAAGCAGAGAGATAGCAGCGCCCAGGTGCATACTCAATGCAGATGTTTTTGCCATGGCCATTTCGAGGACCATTAGCTGTGTAATGCTCTCCATGGCGCGGGATTGCTGCAGCAATGTCGAGGATCCCTGCTGGTTTATGGCTAGAACCTCATTTTGCAAGCTCTTGATGGCAGTATTTGCGTAACCCTCAAGCTGCGTCCAGACGTTCTGCCTGCATACTTGGTGACCGGAGACGTCCTCGCTTGACAGGATGAGGGTGAAGAAGAAGGTGCTGAGGCTCATGACCGCATGGAACAGCGTCTTATTGTGGCGCAGGATGCCCAGAACCCAGGCCCGTCCGCCTTGTATCATCGGAGGAGCGTAATACGGAAATAGAAAGGGGAAGACCTGATCCACATAGAGCATTGTGAAGTCCACGTCGAGTTCCTTGAAAGCGTTGACGGCGGGAATCCCATCGAACGTCCACGAATCGGCCGTGGCTGCAACTGGCAAGGGCTTGGCGTCACCCCCGATGTTGAGGACCTGGATGTAGTCCCGCTCTCGCTGCCGCTCTTTGCCCTGCTTCACCTGAGCCTTGAAGCACCGCGTCATTTCGTCTTGCTTCTCGCCGCCATCCATCCAGTCTGGCCGCTCCGTACTGTAGTGGCACCGGATGTTCAGCGCCGAGCATGATTGGCACGCTGGCTGCTTCTGGTCGCACTTCTTGCGCCGGAGACGGCATGTCCAACAGGTCCCGGTTCTGGCCATAATCTATGGAATTCCTCGGGCGACGGTGGATGACGGAAATCCTCTGTTTAGGTTCAAGAACTAGGTTTGGTAGCAGTAGATCAAGTAACGTACGTGCTAAAGTAACCAAATTTGATTCCCGCGCGATTTCCTAAAAGAGGATAGTGTCATCTAGCTGACAAAACTCTGAGGGGCAACAAAGCCATGAACCCACTCACTTTGTCCCCACTTAGAAGGGATCCTAAGAGATCAGCATCTCATCACATTGATAACAATAGGCATCTCGGGGACCAGCTTCTACCCGGCACCCCGAATATGAATAATAAATGGCATATAACCCAAGGCAGCCAAAGCATATCTCGCATTTATCGAAACTCTATTGCCTTTATTACTACCATCTTACCAGCATTCATTCGCCATGGCCTCTTCCACCAAACTCTGTGTAGTTGTCGCCGGCGCCTCTGGCGAGACAGGACAGTCTATCACAAAGGGGCTACTGGCCAACCCTTCGAAGTTTCATGTCATAGCACTGGCACGCCCTGAGTCGGCAGGCAAGGCGGTATACCAAGAGATGGCGTCTGCAGGTGCCACTATCAAGACAGCTGACTTCTGCAACCTAGATGCACTTGCAGAACAGCTTGCAGGCGCTGACGTCGTTATCTCGTGCCTAATGCCAATACAGCTGGTCGAATCAGAGACACTTATTGACGCTGCGCATCGCGCTGGCGTTGGCCGCTTTATACCTAGCTTCTGGGGTACTGTTATGCCTCCACGCGGCATTATGGCTGTCCGAGATGTTAGGGAGGACCTGCTGGACCGAATTAAGCGCCTCTATCTACCTTACACTGTTGTCGAAGTAGGCATGTGGGCCCAAGTCGGTCTTCCGCCACCCTATGCCCCGCCGCCTCCTATTGCCGACACATTCATCGGAAATGGCGATACGCCCACCGCCGTCATAGACAAGGAAGATATTGGGCCGTATGTGGCACGCATCATCACAGATTCGCGGACGCTAAATCGGTCTGTGTTTGCATATGGAGACGTCGTGACGCAGAGCGATATTTCGGCAGAGCTTAAGGCTGCAATGGGAAAGGAGGTGCCGCGGGATTCTCTCTCGGTTGCTGAACTCCAGGCCCGCATTGCAGAGCTTCAGGTCTCCGTAGCAAGAGACCCGACTGACGTGGGGCTGACCTTAGAGCATGCTATGTCTCAGTATAGGTACAGTCGCTATGTCAGGGGCGATAACACGCCCGAGCACGCCCAATACCTCGGTTACTTGGATGGCAAGACGTTGTACCCCGATCTCAATTGCAAGTCTATGCGCGACTTTATTCGCGAGGTGGTCAACGGAGAGCGCGACCACCGCATTTATGTTGGCCGAGATCCAGTAGCAGATGCAACGCAGCACAAGGCCTAGGCACTCTTGGAGGAGTGGGGGCAATGAGGCTGCAAGATATGGAGTCAGTAGTCTTTTCAACCTTGTAAGTAGTTTAGAACATATAGATGGTATGGGTCTAGATATAGCATCAGGATTCAGGAATATATTATAGCACGGTTCTTTTGAGAGTAGCTGAGCTTTGAAAGCTATCTGTCGCACTGAGCGTGCTTAAAGGGTTAGAGTGAATATCATGAGCAGCAGCAAATGTGTTGATTGATGTCTTAAGTTATCTCTTGTGCGGGGTATTCCATCCCGCAGAGTTACTTAAAGCATATAGCTAGATTACTAATGCCTACCCTGCGACACTATCAGTTACTCTACCTTTCTTCGCTTATCATTATTTATGTCCCGTTTCTGCGCCGTTAAGTAAATACTTGCATACAGAAGTCAATAGAGTAAGACGAAACCAACCTTTTTAAAGGCCCTAGATGCATCCCTTGAGTTATACCAGTAGTCTAAACAGACCACAAGACGCATGGTCCAATTAATTGTTATTTTTAGTTACACTAAATCTCATCGTAACTCAGCTATGAAAGATTCACATAATTGATCCTCGGCTCGAACGTCTGTATGCCCTGCAGGCTAAGATATGCCATAACTGGCAATAGCCTCGCAGGGGATAGGACAAGCAGGCCTATTAAGTATGCCATCCCAATCAGTTTCTAATACCTATCATTCTAGCATAAGTCAGTGCTTATATATATACTAGTACTTAGGGGTGCATATTCTCAGATTGCCCAGTTAGCTAACCTGGCAAGTTCCGAGAGCTTTTCCTAGTTCAATCAATAGGCAAGAATTAGGGAAGGCTGCAGACAGATAAAGAGGCTTATAATCGAGATATCTCTCGTTCTGAAAGATAAATAAAATATTCCAGGGCATGGAAAAATAAGTCTTAGGGGAAGGAGATTTACAGAGGGAGCCGAACGGGGATAAGAAACCGGAGTAATGGGGCCGAGGCAATCGCAGCATCCTTCGGCGGCCCTGCGCCGGATAATCCACATCTTACCGGCCGCAGGGAGTCTCAGACAGAGCAACCCTATATCAGAGATTACATTAATAACTGCTATAAACCGTAAAGTATTTCTAACAATTAATAAAGCTAGCTATACTTCAATTTCTCCAGTGCGCCCTTTAGCTCTCTAGCGCTTTCTCTCGACATCTGCTTAAAGACCTCTATTAAAGGGGAAAAGATATAAGGGCTTCACTTTGCCTTTGTAAATATAGGCTGCATCTTTGCTCCGAAGCTATACGCCCTAGCTACTTATGAACGCTTTCTTTGCGATAGGATATTCTCTATCCCTCCATAAATACGCCTTTTCCGTCAAAGGCCGCTCCTCTGGCATAGATACCTTTATATACCCGCAATACATAGTATAGTCGATATGCATTTTGAATGGCCTCTGAGTGCTCTTTTAGTTCTAAGGCTTCCTATGTGCCTCTTATAAGCTATTATAGTAGCCCTAATGGCATTTATCTCGTATTAGGCTTGTCAATATCTTCTGAATTACCATCGCTTAAGTCAGTGGAGCTGTCAGATGAACAGAGCTCGACTCCGAAGCTGGCGGCTATCATTATACCCCTTCTAATCGTCAGCCTTATACTCACTATCCTAATACGCTTTATCCCAATACGATTCATCCTCACACTCTTCATCATCCTTATACTCATAATCCTCACACTCTTCATCCAAATACTCTTTATTATTATCCTAGGTATCCTTATCATCCACATAATCTATTTCCTCCTATAAGTACTTGCCATATGGCTCAAACTATTTCCTCTTAATATAGAGATCTTTAATCTACCTCTTACTAATAAGCCGACTACTTATATCGCGAATAGATAAAACGATATTGCTAGGCTTCTTAAAATGTTTTTTTCTTAGGAATAATAAGGATGCCAATCTAGTCTTCTTGATGTTTTTTGTCGTTAAATAGTTAAAGGCCATATCCATATAAGAGATCTATAGCGATCTCCTGCTTCATAACTCCATCTTGGAGGTTAAACCTGCTAATAAGTTTAAATATTGTATTCTTATATTTATATATATTATATAAGTATGTGGAACACCAAGTCTTTTATGGAGCTGCCTATTAGTATCTTGGCTTTATATATCGTGGTTATGTAGTTAGATATACTCCTACGTGTTTCCTTTTTTCATTTATGTAGTGCGTATGGCTAGGTCAGGGCTGATAAGGCCTGATTTAATCTTTTTAAACATAGTATCTTTTAGGTGAGCTTTTGCTTATCCTTAAAAGACTAGAACCTATAATGGAAAAGGACCTTATATTGGCCTGTGTTATTACTCACTTAAAGATAAACCTGGTAGTCAAAACACGCGGTCCACCTGCCTGACAAGGTTATTAAGCTGCATTGTCCTGGAATAGAATTACTAGTGAAACCAGCCAGCCCTTCCCTAGCCTGCCGTTTCCCTAAAGACTTTTATATCTTATAATATATGAGAGTGGCTCTAATGATTATATAAATGATAAAGAAGAATCTTTAAGCATCTTACGGAGATGAGAGTAGTAGGGGCAACGGCTACGTATAATACATGTGAAACGCAACTGCAGCTATACCATCCGCTCCTTAATTTTCGCGGTGGGTAGGCTAGGGGTGGCACAGGCGGTCGGCTGTTGGGGGTTGGCCTGTCACTGGCCTGGCTCTAGACGTCGCTATCAGGGTGGTATAGGGGTGTAAGCCAGTATGCGGGAGCTACAATGATCATTAGAGGAGACCGTGGTACTTGACAAAAATAAGCAAAGGACTGTTTCTATATGGATTAGATACCATTATAAATTGCCGCAAATAAGTCTATTATTAGATAATATCGTACGTAAAAAGTAACAATAGCAATATAGTACTAATAGTAATGGCTGCCAACCTTACCTCTTTAAAATAACGCTACAGCCTGCGCTAAGATAATAATCGATAGTACCATTGGCTGGCGATAAGAAAGCAATACGTCATTTTTCATAGGCTCGAAAGTAAAAGGAAGAATCACAGAAGGAAGGTTCAAGGGAAGTCAAGATAAGGCATAGGCTTGCCTTGCTCGTCAGTATCAGAGTCTTATCTCATAATCTAGATGCTAGCTGAAAATGACAAAATCTTTTTCTAGTAACGTACATGATAAGCGAGTGCAACAGACAAGCGAGTGCAACAAAAAATCCCACAATTTACATCTTCTTAATTTAATTAATTAATTTTCAACCACCAAATATATCAGACCTAAATATTGAGGCTAGGATTGTTCTTGCACTTCGTGCCCTTCAAAATGACCCAAAATTAAGTCTCCGACGCGCCGCAGGCATCTACCAGGTCTGTTATTGGACTTTACATCGCCGACAGAAGGGTATCCTTTCTACGCGTGATTCTATCCCAAAATCACGCAAACTATCTGATCTAGAGGAACAGATCATAGTTTAGTTTATTCTCGATCTAGATTTGCGAGGGTTCCCCCCGCGACTGCGTTATATTAAGGAGATGGCTAACCGATTGCTTGCCGACTGTAAGACGCCGCCTGTCGGCAAGTGCTAGGCCTCTAACTTCATTAAGTAATATAAAGACCTTAAGATGCATTTTTTCTATAAATATAACTACTAGAGAGCTAAATATAAAGATCTAACTATTATTAGTAACTGGTTTAGGCTTATAGTAAATATAATTACTAAGTATAGTATCTAACCTAATAAAATCTATAACTTTAATAAGACTAGCTTTATAATAGGCATTATTACAAGTAGAATAGTTATTATAGGTGCTAAAAGGCATAGAAGATTAAAATTAGTATAGCCTGGAAACCGGGAATAGATTATAGTTATTTAGGCAATTAATGCCAAGGGCTAAGTAATCCTGCCGTTTATTATAGGTGCAGGCTAATATTACCTTGCTAACTGGTACTGAGAAAGCAGCCTCCTAGGCGATTAGGCTATTGCGATAAGTCTAAATGGCTGGATAGATAATGAGATAGGCCTTGAATGGCTAAAGCACTTTGATAGGTATACTACTAAGTAGTTAAAGAATCGCTATTATCTCCTGATCCTTAATAGATACAAAAGTTACTACTTAGTCAACTTTAAGAGATATTATAAGGCAAATAAGATTATTATGCTTTTTATGCCGCCCTATTTATCTTATCTACTATAGCCTCTTAATGTTATATACTTTAGCCTGCTTAAGAAGGCTTATAGGCAAGAAATCAAGCATTTAATTAGATGCTTTATAACTTATATTTTTAAAACCGAGTTCTTCCTGGCTTTTTATACCGCCTACTAGGCCATAATAATAGAGAAAAATATTAAAGCAGCCTTTAGAGGAGCTAGACTTGCTCCTCTTGACCTAGAAAGTGTAATCTCGAAGCTCGATATGCAGCTGCGGACTCTAATGCCTGCGGAGGAGGTAGTTAGCCCCTTAACTCCTTGGGTCTTAAAGACCCCAAAGACTATCCTTAAAGCCGACTCTTAGCTTGAATATCTTAAAAGGAGAATCAAAAGGCATAAAAGTAGCTCTCTAGAGTTGATTCTAGAAGCATTGAGGTCTTCTTCTAAGGGAATAAAGATAGTTATATATAAGGTTGCCTTATTAGAGGCTAGGGTTTAAGATCTTGAATAGGCAAATGAGATACTAAGCCGGCGATAGAGGGCAAAAAGAACCTAGCTATAGAAAGGAGGAGTAATAATAGTAGAGGAAGGAAGGCAAATAATTGATCAAATGGATGCTGATGTGCAGGCGGTGGCTGGACTATCGAGGAGTGGTGGTTAAGGAGGGCCTGCGCGAATGAAGGAAAGGCGCTGTAGAGCGTGCGGCAAGATAGGATATAATGTAAGGACCTGTCAGATAGTTATCGCTATATCTCTGGAAGGATATAGCGATTAATTTTACTTAATTAATAGTCTGTTGTGTTTTTATGGCTATTTCTATCTGAGATGTTGGGATGTTGTGTTGCACTCGCTTGTCTGTTGCACTCGCTTATCATGTACGTTATATCATCTTCCTGGCCTTATTTGATCTAAGATTTTGGATCAAATTTGGCCATTTTCTACCATCACCCAATGTCCAAGATACGGAACAAAGATCCCTTATTTGACCACAAGCGGCCAATTTCGGCGCATGAATCCGCAACCAGTGGCCGACTTAGGGTGCTTCCACCTTGAATCCTTCCAACACCCTCAGAGCTGTAGGAATATACATCTTACACAAGGCGAGGATAAAGCAATAGCATTCTATATTAGATCAAATTCAGAATATACGAAGTACATATCAGTTACTTGTGTGTCAAAATTCGCCATTTGGTACAAAAAAGATTCCTCACTCCCAGCTTTTCCTTTCTTTTTCTTCTCTCCAGCATCGACGCTCAATTTGGCGACTTCATCCTCTGTATTCAAGGGAAGGAATAATGCAAAAGACAAGCAATAGCTTTGAATGCATCCGAAGTACCTTCTGAGAATTTCAACTCTTCCGCGCACTGGTCTTTGCCTTTTGTATCTGTTCAACCTGCTAACAATTCTCGCTCTTGGATAGAAATTGGCAGCGCCGTAGCGCTTTGAATAAGTATAAAGCTCCACGCGAGGATTTTAAAGTTCATGGCGAGAGTTGGGTTAATGGTGCACGCGATCTTGGCTGCTATCGTGCAACCACAGGAGAGGCTTTTTGAAGCAAGCCGATGACAAGGCAGGCTCAAGACACGAAACAGCATGGGCCCCATCGTTTATATAGTCCCCGCACTATTTTCAATAGAAGCTGTAGTCTAGGGCTGGATCAATGATACAAAGAAAATTCAGACCGGCCAAAAATGATTTTGGAGCCTTTCACTTCCATTGCCTATCAGTGGATCTTCTCGTCGAGTTGTGGACCCGTTTGGGACTCTTGTGTACGTCAAGAATCGGCCCATGGCAATTCAGGGACCTTTCCCATCCAGGTGTACTACTATCCTACGGTCATTTTTGCATTCAGTCTTGGATTCGTTTACTAAGAGAATCGGGATAGTCTCCTTCTTTCGTTCTGTTCGACTCAATGACCACCTTTTCTATTGTTCATGATCGTATTTTCTGCCATACCATGTTGTCCTTCCGATTACTCTACTCTTATCCTGATGAAAAAATTCTATAGCACAGCATTCAAGTGTTTTTAAACCGGGCACACGACCATTATGGCCAAAACAGATGATAACCATGAAAATGACAGCATGTAAGTGAAACGTGTGTCACAGATTTTCTAACATCATGTAGCCTTGACTGCTATATTCATACTGATCTGATTTAGATACTTAGTAGATTCTATCCAGGATCACTTCGTTGATGAAGACGTAAGGGCTATATTAAATTTCGATTGTTTGCTTTCTATCTTGTTCGTCGCGTTTAGCGCGCCACCTAAACCTTTGGCTATACACCTTCTGCTCCTCGTATTTCGGGACGACCTAGGTTATACGAATACTTTCGCTTAGGCCATCATCGCCTCCACCATTCTAGGCTGGCACGACACTGATAGATACCAGGGCTGCGTGTATTTCCAAGTGAAATGGCAAGGCCATGAGAGCAGCAAAGAGTGGACATGGGAGCCCCAGACGAATCTCGAGTCAGTTGCCTGTTTCCTGCCCCTACGCTCCGCCTAGCTGACCCTTGAAATTCGGAGAAAGAATCGAAGGCGACATGTTGGTGAAAGAATATTTCGAAAGCCTCGCCAAGCGACGGAAGAGAGTCCGAAGGTCTGCAAGGAAGCAACCGAGTCCATCGGGTGCTACGGTTGGCACTGGACGTGGCAGGAGGAATGAATGCCATCGAACTGTCCCCTCAGGCCGCGTAGCAAAGTTGGCATGGGAACCCCCACGAGGTAGTTGGGAACATGAACCTCTCCATATCGATGGCTGCGGGGGAGACAGCGCAGAAACCCTGATGATCTACATTACCTGGCTCGGAGGTCATAGGACCAGGCATAAAATGGATGTGCTATGCAACAAATGCCCCCAGAAAGTAGGAATACCTTGATTCCATTCATCACCTGTCATACGTGATACTGACAATCTTCTTATCTTAGATGCTCCGTTACCTAGAACAGTATGTGTCAATGTCGTGACGACATGTTGCGAGCACCATAACGTGAACGCGATTCGATTCATGGTGGTGCGAAGAAGTGGAGGGTTTGTCAATGTGTGCGGTATAGAAACGCCCATTCCTACCGGAAGTCTGCAGCGTTTGACTTTGAAATACCAATATACTCAGAGACAAAACTCAAGCACACGAAGGTCCATATCCATCCCCAGAGCTGCGTTGCTGCAGTTTTAGGCTGAGCAAAGGCTGAGGTTTTCAGACTTGAGGCTGAGATGGGCTGAGTAAGGAGTTAAACGGGGTGTAGGAGCTCGTTTTTGGGACCATGGATCCCGGCTACGCCCCAGTCTCGGGACTAAGCCCAGTTTTCGGTCCCCCCTCTTCAACAGAGTTTAACTCTACAGCCAACAAAATTACTGACTCTGCCACTCTTCCTTATGTGAAAAAAATGCAGGAACAATTCACTTTGTAGATAAATAAGCACAAGACCGCAGGTAGTGAGCTCATATTCCACCGCTATGACTGCTGACATGGGTTGAAATAGATGGAACCTTGGGTGAGACACTGGCGTCACCGCCTTGGCCGGTGAGAAGTAGGATTTCAGATGTCAAGGTCGTTCGTGACTGGGATGTTTGTTTTGCTGACGCTCCAGCTCAAGTGCAAATGTCCTCAGCCTGTTCTCTTCACAATCTTTCCCTGCCATACTCCGCCCCAACGGTCTAAGCGAGCCGCGCGTCAAATTTACGAATGTGATTGGCTGTCTGTAATTAGTTCAACTCAAGATCCAGTAGGGCGAGAGAGGAGCGAATCTATTTGGTTGCTACACATACTTGAGCTTTTATTCGTGTAACGTATTTTATAAGCGAGTGAGCCATATAAGCAAGTGAGCCAAAAATCCCTCACCTTACAGTATCACCATTCAATTCAATATTTATCAACAAACCAATATGTCACAGTCCTTATATGAGGCTAGGGTCCTTCTTGCCCTTCAGGCCCTTCAAAATAACCCGAAATTAAGTGTCTAAAAGGCAGCAACCATATATCAAATCAATCACTGCACCTTAGGTCGCCGCCAGAAGGGAATTCAATTAACACGTAATACCACTATAAAGTTATAGAATCTATCTAATCTAGAGGAGCAGATAGTAGTTTAATTTATTCTTAACCTAGATTTATAAGGATTTCCCCTATAGCGCGATTTTATAGAAAAAATAGCTAATTCTCTACTTACCGATTGCAATATATTACTAGTTAGCAAGCTCTAGGTTTATAACTTTATCTAGTAATAACTATAGCTTATAATATATTAATTTTAGAGATATAACTATTAGAAAGCTAAATGCAAAGATCTAATTAGTATTTATAACTAGTTTTGCCTTATAGAGAATATAATTATAAAATATAATATCTAATTAGATAATATATAGAATTTTAATAAGACTGGCTTTATAATAGGCATAATTAAGCCTAGGATAGTTATTATAAGCTTAGAAAGGTAAGGGATACTAAAAAAAGTCTAGCCTAGAAATTATAAATAGATTACTGCAATTTAGGCAATTAATACAAAAGGTTAATTAATCCCGCCATTTATTATTAGTTTAGGCCAATATCACCTTGCCAATTAGTATTAAAAATATAACCTACTAGGCAATTAGGTTATTATATTAAGCGAAAATAGATGGATAAATAACTAGCTAGGTCTTGACTGGCTTAGGCACTTTAATTAGTTAATAAAGAACTAATTAGTTAGTTCTTATTATCTTTTAATCCTTAATAGTTATAAAAGCCATTATTTAGCCGAATTTATAAGATATTATAAGGAGAATAAGATTATTATATTATATATGCCTGCTTATGCCTCTTATTTACTTTAGCCTCTTAATATTGGCTGCTTTAAATTACTAAAAAAGGCTTATAGGTAAGAAATAGAGTATTTAATAAGATACTTTATAAACTATATCTCTAAGACTAAGTTCTTTCCTGCCTTTTATACTGCCTATTAAGCTACTATTATAGAAAGTAATATTAAAGGAGGTTTTAAAGGAGCTAGGCTTGCTCCCTTTAACCTAGAAAATATTATCTTAAAGCTTAATATATAATTACAGACCCTAATACCTCCTGCAGAGGTTATAATACCTTTAACCCCTTAGACTGCAAGGACCCTAAAGATATTACTAGAGGCCTAATTGCATTCTAAATATCTATAGGGAAGGGTTAGAAATTATAAAAGCAGCTCCTTAAGGTTAATTATTAAGGCTATTAAGCATTTTAAAAAGGCAATAAGCATCCTTATCTATAAGATAGTCCTACTAGAGGATAGGCTTTAATAAGTTGAATAAGAGAATTAGATAGTAAAGCGACGCCAGAGGGGGAAAAGGACTAGACTACAAAAAGGAGGGCCTTTGACTATAGAAGAGGCATCACAAGCAATTGATCAGATGGATGTTGATACGCAGGTAGCAGCCGAATCGTCGAGAAGTGGTAGTTGCGGAAGGTCAAAGGGACCGAGGGTTTCATATTGTAGCAAATGCGGCAGGGCCAGGCATAATATAAGGACCTGTTAGGAGGAAATTGAGGTTAATTTAGAAGAATATAGCAATTAGTTTTAATTAATCTGATAATTTGTGGTATTTTTATTGCTAATTTAATTAAGAAGGTTGGGATTTTTGGGTCACTTGCTTATATGGGTCACTCGCTTATAAAACACGTTAGCGTTTATTGTTTTTAGTTGGAGCTTGCCGAACATGATTAGTCATGCGCCATTTCGCCTAGGGGCCCCATAGGGACACGCCTAGGCGCGCCTCCACTCCAGAACGCGTAGGCGTGCGGATTATGTCAGCCCTCAATTTGGCCCAAACTCCACTATCGCGGTTTTCAGGGGCTGCACCCATTGCTGCTTTTGCTCGTCACAACTGTAGTCCCCAGGTGCGGGCTTCATCATGGCCCAAGCGACGTTTCCTGATGATGTGCTCCCGCCAGAGGGTACATACGATTCACGAGAGGCTCTGCTCGCCGCTATCAACAAGTGGGCAGCACCGAGAGGATACGCGTTCATAACTGGAAGATCTTCACGATCAACTAGCGGCAGGCAGATTATCACCTACGCATGCGATCGATGGTGTCGTACGCCTAGCGTGTCAAAAGATCGCCAGCGTAAGACTACTACGCGAGGAATCAATTGTCCGTTCTCAATTATCGCAAAGGAATCCCTAGATAAGGCGACTTGGTCTTTAAGGCATCGTCCGGACAGCTGGTTTTATTTACACAACCACGAGCCAAGCTGGCACAAATCGGCCCATCTAGTCCATCGGCAGCTCTCCGATGCAGACAAGTCGACAGTCAGCCGCCTTACGAATGCAGGAGTAGCGCCAAAGGATATCAGGACTTATATCCGCCAGAATTCGAACACTATTGCAACGCAGCAAGATATTTATAATCATATCGCAGATAGCAAACGAGAGCTTTGTGAGGGTCAGAGCACTATATATGCCTTTGCTAACCAACTGGATAAGGAAGGGTTCTAGAATAGAATGCGGCTTAATTCAGATGACCGAATCACGGCGGTATTATTCGCCTATCTAGAGTCATTAGCATACCTTCAGGCCTACCTAGACCTGCTTTTCCTCGACTATATATATAAGATAAATAAATACAGGATGCCACTGCTTGATATGATTGGCGTCGATGCCTGCCAGCGATTGTTCTGTATAGCCTTTGCATTCCTTAGCGGCGAGACTGAGCAGGACTACCTATGGGCCTTGGACCGGCTTAGGTCCCTGTATGAACTCTGCCATATAAGGCTTCTATCGGTTATCCTAACAGACCGTGATAAGGCTTATATGAACGCCGCAGAGATCTGCTTTCCATCCCCAATTTCACCCTTGTGCCTATGGCATGCAAATAAGGCAGTCCTCTGTTATTGCCAGCCGATATTCGTGCGCCACCAATAAGGATCAGAGGCCTACCAGCAAGGTCTGGCCGATTGGGATGAGTTTTTCAATCACTGGCATTCGATCATGAAGTCACCGGATGAAAAGGCATTTGATCAGCGCGTGCAAGAGCTTGAAAGGCGCTACTTACTACAATACATTAAAGAGGTTGGCTATATCAAGGCCAATTGGCTCGATCCGTACAAGGAAAGGTTAGTGAGGGCTTGGGTTGATCAACATCCTCATTTTGGTAATATAGTCACCTCGCAGGTTGAGGGTATCCATGGGCTCCTTAAGAGCCACCTTAAGAAATCTATGCTAGATCTCTTCAAGGCTTGGAGGGCTATAAAGCATGTGCTTCTTAATCAATTAGCCGAGCTGCAATCTAACCAAGCCAGCTAGCAAATAAGAATACTAATCGAGCTCTCTAGATCACTATACAGTGCCATACGTAGCTGGGTATCTCATGAGGCTTTATGTAAGGTGGAAGAACAGCAGAAGCTGCTCCTAAAAGAACACCTGCCCATTTGCACCGGTGCATTCTCCAGATCTCACGGCCTCCCTTGCGCCCATACTCTCAAGGCTCTACAAGAACAAAAGCAGCAGATGCCACCAGATAGGTCATACAATGACTTCAAAGACATGCCCTCAACGACACGAGGAGCTTTTGAAGCCACCAGCACCGTCGGCGCAGGCAAGACCATTGCCCACGATATCTTCATCAGCATCATCCTTGCACGCAGGAGAAGCTCCAAGACCAACATCTTCAGGATCATTAGAGCAGACAGAGTCAGTAATAGATAGTGCCAGTTACATTATCATCAGTCTTGACGGCGCAGATAATATAGTGCCGGCAGTATCATCAGCAGCACCACCGGCATAGATAAGGATAATGCCGACATCAAGGTATGATAATCCTCGGGCTATCTATCAGAGATATGTTGCTGCTCGAGATACTTAGTATAAGGTATAGCCTTATAGCAGTATTAAAACTAACTAGCAGTATTAGAGGGCATTAGGTCTACCTTTGCAGTATGATAAATCTAGCTATTAATGGTATCTCGATTAGAAGCAGATGGGTAAGCGCTGCGATACTCTAAACGGCTCTAGAGATTGGACTAAAGAGGAGATAATAGCCTATCTAGATTGGAGCAAAGCGGAAGATGACCCCTATCGAGGCTCAGGTAGCTGCGGAGATGGAATGCAGCCCTTTTTCTAGTAGAAGAGGTATGCATAATATCTGGGAGGCGGCAGCGGTAGATAGTGAGGCCCAGCAGGCCATCTATTCCGGTAAATAATTAAGAATTCATAACCGTTTAGGATCATAGTATTCTAAAAAGTAAAAACTGCATCAGAACGCGGAATTTCGACAGTAGAGTTTGGGCTAAATTGAGGGCTGACATAATCCGCACGCCTACGCGTTCTGGAGTGGAGGCGCGCCTAGGCGTGTCCCTATGGGGCCCCTTAGGAATAACAGCCCTTAGTAATCAAGCTGGGTGATTTAAAGTAAAACCTGTGGGATGGAGTACCCCACCCACACAGACGATAGAACCAATCAACACACTACTGCTGCTCATTATGAACGACCCCGACCTTCAATCCATTTTAAGCACATCCAGTGCGACACCAGGCTGAAAGTATGAGGACCTGATCCTAGGGTAGGCTACCACCCAAGGAAATCGCCCGCCAAGATGCTTATACATAAAGTTGTTTCTCGACGATGCACTGCTTTCGCCAGTGCCGAGAACTTACTTGGAAAGGCATATGTATAAGGGTTGGATCATACGGCAGGTGCCAACCTCAAGTCAAAAAGGTCAACGCACCAGACATATTCATGGTAAACCGATTTCTCCCATGACCCCACAATATATTGTCATTCCAAAGAATTCAACGACCTGCCAAAACTTTGGGGAGCTGTGCAGGAGGTCAAATTGTTCCATTGTATAATACATAGTTGACAGCGATGACGAGAACGGCGCCTTATGAACTGATGTCTTGCTTCCTTTTATTTTGCTGTGTCATGCTTTATTTTATTTTATTTTATTTTATTTATTATTCTTTATTAAGAATCACCCTTTGTGGTTCATGGGCACGGCGAAAACCCGCCGGGCGTTGGGGGAGATAATCTTCGGCTCAGTTTTATCTCTGCCTGCTCCTCAACAAAAAACCTTTCGGCAATCGTGCTGAGTTGTAACTGTATTTCTGCATTTTCCGTCACAAGTTTGAGCTGACCATGCTTTCTGGACTGCTCATCTCGGCTCAGGGGGAAGATGACGGTCGCGGACTACAATCTCTGTACGTGTGTAATGTTGCCCCTGATAGAAGAGATTGTTGATCGAATTTCCTTCCTTTCTTCCTTTTTCTAAACCTCTTTTCTGGTAGCATAAACATTGCCGATATATCTACGATGGAGTTATTACATGCCATGGTCCAAGCTTCGCGGACTAGCCCGATCCCTCTGGTGATCGGAGATGGGCAGCTTTGCTGCAACCGAATTCCGAAAGCAAGGTTCCTCATCGACACAGAGCGATACGATAATGATCATGGAGAAGGCGCGATGCAGAAAGTGGTCACCAGGATCCGGGAAGAGAGACGGCAGGCGGCCAAGGACCATGGCCTATTATAGAGTCTTTGGTGTAGAACAGAACGCAGACCTAGTAACTGCGGATAAATCTACATTCCTGCCCAGCTCGCGTTTAGTTCTCAGGTGATAGTAGAAGGACTGGGTCGTAAAACGCTTGTCAATATTACTCCTCGTTTGAGCTTACAGACGCTATATCGTTTCCATGGCGACACACCGAAGCTATTGCCCTTCCGTATTTTCAAACTGCTCCTTGTCTATCTCCCCTTCTCCCTCTCCAGTATTGTTGAGGCTACTGCCAGTATTCACAGGTGGCTGCGCATTTTCCAGAGCTGCCTGGCCCTCCCGGACGTTTCCCGTTCGTCGGCGATCGGCGAGCTGGACGAATGCAGGCATGATTAATCGGTTGACCATAGTATCAAAACTCATGTCTGCCTGGTCTGGCGGAACGAATATCAAGCAAGCCCACAGGCCGCGTCGAGAGGGATGTCTCCGGAGCATTACACGAGCAGAGGGGCGGCTGACATCAAGTCTGATGTTCTTGTACTGTGACTCTATCGCCTTCCTGCTGGAGATGACATCTTTCTCACTGCTATGCTGAAGTAAATCACTCGATCTAGTACAAGGCGCCGGCAATGATCTTACGCTGTCAAAGGTGGCATTTCCAGGAGAAGACGGGGTTTGTCTTGCTGAGACTCGGGGTGTCTTCTTTTCCAGCTTTATATTCCGCTCGCCATCTTTATCTGGCTGGCGCTTTCTCTTGAGCTGAGACACCGTCAGTGGGACAGGTCTCAAGTTATCGTGATGAGAAGGAAAGAAGAAAGAAAATTGGTAAGTTAACCCAGCACAGGAGGTTTCGGAAGAGCTTGGAACAAAGAACGAAAAGGGGAAGAAAAGAGAAAAAAGAAAGAAGAAAAGACGAAAAAGGGAGAAAAGGGAAAAAAAAAAGGAAAAAAGAAAAGAAAACAAAGACACCACTGTGAAGCACCAGTATGGAACAACAAGATGCGAATCCTGAGCAGTAAGGAAGAAAAGACAGACAAATACATAAACAGGCTCATGGCAACCTTGACTGTTCGATGACTTACCGAGCTATCACCCTCGCTTACGGATGGGCCTATCGATGGCGCCACCTTCTGACGGGCTCCACCATTCTTCCGTGTGTTGTAGCTTCGGGTTCGCGTGGTAAGCCCCATTGTAGCTGCTGGTGCATCCGAATAATCGGGAACTGGCAGGCTCGCGCTGTCGACGTCGTCTTTGGTGGCCGATGTAGCCTCTTCT